TCATCATCATCAACACTCACACCAGACCTTGGTGTCATCATAACCTATGTATTGATATTGATCGTGCTGAGCTACCCCTGAACGGAGTGTCCACAGAGGTCAGTCAAAACCTACAATAGTATATACAATGAACGCCACCTGCTGTTATCATGCAACTTGATAGTCACTGAGCAACTAGCTCATCGAGACCGATACTGAGACGATAGCTGTTGCACAGTTTGATAGTCACCGAGTATCTCGACAGACTGACCTGGGTTTCAGGCGCGAGACCCCTGACACATAGCACATGTGTTGTATCACCACTTGACACCATCCAAAGGCAGTTCATTCTGCAGTCTGGATATCAATTGATACCAAAGGTGGCTCATACTGTGGTCCAGCTCTCTCAATCATTAGAACTGAAGGCAGTTGTCCACTGTGGTCTGGGGATCATCAGTCATTCAGTTGACACACTGGACACTTGTGTTGGCACAAGCACATTCACACCAGGCCTTGGTGTCATCTCAAAGTATCTATTGGATAGCAATCATGTTGAGCTACCTCTGGATGGAGTGTCCCCAGCAGTCAGTCAAAACCTGCAATAACCTTCAAGCTACCACATATTTGAGCAAGAAAAGTCCTAGAAGGCTTCTACAACAGATTTGAGCAGGAACAATATTAGGAGGCCTTTACTACAGATCTCACTGAGATTAATTGTAACTGCCTTTTACTACAGATTTTGGGTTTCAGGCACATGACCTCTGACAGACGGTTGTCGACGCTTAACGAGCGATATCAGTCGAAGCACAGTACTGCTGCTATTGGTACAGAAACACTATACTATACTGGCTTAGACTAAACATGGTAGTAGAATAGAGCTTTCAGCTCGATATATATATACAGTGGCAGCACATCCTAAAGGTGGGAGTGTACAGACCCTGTATGTAAGTTTGAGGACAATCAGGTAATTTCCTGATTTAGCCAGATACCCTGCATTTGGGTCATCATTGTCATTGAGCAATAGCACTACCATCATACTGAGCAAGAACACTTCAAACACTGACATGGTCTGTGGCAATGAGCTCTCTCCAATGCAGCATGCTTCAATTGTTGCAATGCATGATACTGGGCTGCCAATTCAACAAATCATGGAGATAAGCAGTGTATCCAAGACAGCAGTTCACAAGACCATCCATAACTTTAAGGAGCATGATTCCTTTGAAACAAAAGCATGATCTGGCTGTCCATGCTCCTGGACAGCTACCTTGGACTGGTACCTTCAGTGTGAGGTACTCAAAAACCTGTTTCTATCATGGTGACAGCTGTCAGCATCACTTGGCAGCATTCCAATAACGCAGCCCCAGAAAGCAGCATACCGGGCCGGTATTAACCGCCGAAAAACACTCGAGAAGACATCAACAACATGGTTCTGACGTTCCATTTCAGCCATTTCAGCATCCAGGTATGGACCAACATTGCATACAACCTTAAAACCCCATTGGTTGTGCTCCCATTGGCTCCAAGGAAGAAACAACTGGGGCCAGGTAATCAATGGGATTCTGCTGAGAACCTCACAGCTGTCAGGTATCGCGATTGGATCATCGACGGCCCGCTCCGTGACGCTGTAACTGCTGTTAGTGCATTCACTCTTAAGGGAGCATAGACGGGTACTATCACGAACCGGCCCGACGGTTGGCAATGACAAGGGCGAGATCGAGAGGCAGAGGAGACTACCAGACTTCGGAAGGAGTAGATGTGAGGGTTGATTGAGAGAGTGACTTATGATCTCTTTTCCTTAAGGGAAAAGAGAAGAGAAGAAGGAAGGAGCAAACTATGAGATCAAAAGTACAAGACTCAATGCGATGAGTCTAAGACTCTTTTGCAGTGAATTGACATATCAATGTTAGATCTATGATAACTATGAGAAGGGTCATGACCGAGTCATGACAGGTACTACATGTGCATGAGCAGAATGAGTGAGAAAATTGATTGCCTAACTTGGGAGAGTTGCTTGCGAGCTCCCAGCCATGGCCACATGGTGTGCAAGTGGCATACTGTATGGTGTGATGGTCATGAGCTGAGGCTGTAGAGCAAGGAGAGGCAAACCCATCCAGGAAAGGCAATCAGAGGTTGCGCCAGGTGATGGTGCTGAGTGACAGAGGAGTGGAAGTGTTGGTGTAGAGTGCCACCTTGGTGATGGCTGCTCAGTCAGCAGCAGACTTGTTGATGTAGCAACAGAAGCAGTCGCTCCACCAGCACCCCAGCCCACAGATGGTGGCATTGTTGACACTGTTGGAGGCCACCCTTGTTGCCACACCATGACAGAAGGAGTGGCCAGAGTAGGCTGAGGGTTTGATCCCACAGGTTGTGAGGCATTGGCGCAGGGTGGCAGCGAAGCTAGACGAATGGCCTGTTGCCTTCGAGGATGAAGAGGGGTGCTAAAGATGGCCATGACCTGCACACCATGTCAAGAGCAGAGACGGCGCAAGTGCTGAGCAGGACAGCTGGCATGGTGAGTGTAGCACCCTGCCAAAAGGGGTCAATCCTGCTGGCTGGGATGGTGACAGTTGCAAAGGACTTGTCAGCAGCAAAGGAGATAGAGCCAACTGTGAGCATTTTGTTGGTGCCTTGTGCTTCCCACGTGAGCTCGCCTGAACAGAGGAAGCATGCAAAGGCAAGGAAGAAAGCAGCATGGAACATCCAATGGTTGTGTTGGGAGGGACAGACTGTTGGAAGGGCCCAGAGGAGTTGGTGGAGCAGGGGTAGGGTCAGGGCAAGCTTGGCAATGGGGAGAGGATCACCAACAACTCGCTTGAGGCCTTGCACAGCTCTGGCCAGGCATTTGGAGTTGAAAAAGACTGTGGAGAGGCTGAGGTCAATGTGCCAAGACTTGATGATGGTGAGGTCACACTTGATGAAGCCGTATGTCTTGCTGGTGGTGTGCTGAGCCGCGACCCATTCAATGAGAAGGGTGTCAGAGGTCTCGCACCTAAAACCTGAAATCTGTAGTAGAATTGCAACTACTACTGATCCTATCGAGATCTGTGGTAAAAGGCCATTATTACTATTCTTGCTGAGATCTGTCATAGAAGCCTTCTATGACTTTTCTCACTTGGATATGTGATAGCTTGAATGTTATTGCAGGTTTCGACTAACCACTGTGGACACTCTGTCCAGAGGTAGCTTGGCATGACCAATAACTATAGATGCATGGTGATGACACCAAGGTCTGGTGCTGCTGGTGTTGTTGCCCCCAACATGAGTGTTCAGTGTGCTGACTAAGTGACTGAGTGATCCCCAGACCACAGTGGACAACTGCCTTTGGTTCTAATGATTGAGAGAGCCAGACCACAGTATGAACCACCTTTGGATGATGTCAATGAGTGGTGATACAACCCATGCACTACGTTAGAAGCAATGCTCTGCAATTGCAACTGTTGACAGAATACTAACTATACTTTTGGTAAAGCTATAACTAGTGATATAAGGTGTAGAGTGGATGGAGAACCACTCGGCCACTATGACGAGAAGGTATGGTTATATAGGACATCTTCGCAGTGTTGCCTGCAACTCTGCTCTGGCTCTCTCTTTCCAGGGAGCACCCTCTTCATTGAGCACTGCTCCTCCTGTTCCTTCGTCATTGAGGAGAGCTACTGTTACTTCATCAAGGACAGGGGTTGCCCCACCTCATCCTAGTGGCAGTGCACCTCCTTTTCATCTACCTCTTGATGCCAGCACCTATCTCCTCTTGCCAATTTCATTGTTGTGTAGGGCCCCTACCTCATCTGGTGGTGACCTCTCCCTTTTCCATTGTTGCCCTCCTGTCTAATTGGCAATAGAGATATCTTTGAGCCAGTCCCCATGAGATCTGCTGTATGAACATGGTACTACCATTCCCACTGAATTCTGTAGTAGAGCTTTGCTTCTTACTGATCCTGACAAGTCCTGCCATAGAGCCATTGGTCTTACCAATCTCACTGAACTCTGCTGGAACTCTCCATCTGCCCAATCCACAATTGTTGCGCATGGTCCCTTTGTATGAATCCAGTTCTTCCTGTGCATCCATCCAGTCCTATGACACCGTCCTTCTATTCTTTTATCAAAGAGCTGTAGCAGGGCTTACGACCAGGGAAGCAAATGGCCTGGTTGTGGTGCCTCGAGGTCAGTTAAAGCATGTGATACCTCGGCGTAGAAGCATGCAGTCTTCGCCGAGCCCACATCCAATCACCAACTTCGCTTACTTGGACTTGGTGCATTGCCTGGGCCAACTGCCAAACCTCAAGACACTGGTCATCAGATAGCTGGTGTTTCCTCCTCCCCCTTAGTTCCTCACTCATGCTCCTGTCCTATCAGCTCCTAGTATCATACACACATACGGAGGGCATTGAGGCATATATAAACACTTGATTCATCATGTACTTAGGAAAGATTATCATCACAATCATCAGCTGTGATCATCGACTTTAAACGCACGACTTGATTGACACAGAACGACCCTTCAACTAGGTCGACTGCAAACTACAGGCAGAACGGTGTGGCCGAACCAGCTGAACGAAAGGTACTGTAGATCCAGTAGACATTGCCAAGGTACAGAGCAGGTCTGGGCCGCAAAGATAAGGTCGGAAGAGCGAATAGCAATGCACAGGAAGATATGCCCAAGTGTAAGCCGGCGCAAAAGACTTCAGCGAGAGATAGAAACGACATGCGAGCATTCGAGCTAAGCGAGGCAAAGACATGTCTTCTGACGACAGCCGTACAGTTTGGGAACATTGATGTCCGTAATGACTTATCCAGCGGCTCTCATGCTTCACGCTCCTACGCTAGAGCGGCAGCACCTGACCCACAGCCCGCCTGGATCAACGCAGTTGCCGCATGCATGCGCAAAGGGTCGCCAAAGTTTGGGGCAAAAGGCCAAAGAGGAGGAAAATGTATATATATGACGGACACGGAGTTGTTCTGTCAAGAAGTGCCCTTCGAAAACGTCAACTTGACAGTCCTGCCCACACTGAGGGTCGAGGAAGATGGCGGTACGGTCTATCATGTTCGTGGCGCTCGTTGCCTTACTTTTGGTTGGCCATATTGCTTCGCAGTTCGTACAACCACCCTCCGACCACCAGACAGCCACCGGCCATCTCGACATCCCGGTGCGGTACAAGGAAGTCCCAAGTGGCACTTGCGAGACGGATCCCAACGTAAAGAGCTTCTCAGGCTACGTCGATGTGGAAGAGGATGAGCACATCTTCTTTTGGTTCTTCGAAACCCGCAACGGTAGTCCAGAGGAAGCTCCTCTCACGGTATGGATCAATGGCGGCCCTGGCTCGTCTTCCATGATCGGTCTATTCCAAGAGCTTGGTCCCTGCTACATCGATTCGAACGGCAGGGTTGTCAATAACCCTTATGCTTGGAACAATGCGAGCAACATGATCTTCATCGACCAGCCGGCAACGACTGGATTCTCTTACACCAAGCTCGTTCCCGGCTACGTGGACCCTTCGACAGACTCGATCGTTGTACTTCCAAACGAGACCTGCCCTGAGTATGCTCAAGGCTACGGGACATGCGGAACCTATTCGGCACCCAACGTCACTCTGACGGCGAACTCGACTGAGGTTGCAGCTAAGAACTTTTATCGCACACTGCAGGGCTTCATGGGAGCATTTCCTCAGTACTCGCGCGAGGATTTCCACTTTGCTACTGAATCATACGGTGGACACTACGCTCCTGTCTTCAACGAGTACATTGAAGAGCAAAATGGTCATGGCGAGGCGAGAGCGCAAAAGATCAAACTCAAGTCCATCATGATCGGCAACGGTTGGTATTCTCCTGACGTGCAGTATGCTGCATACTACAACTTCACCGTGTCGCCGGGTAACACGTACGACTACCGACCCTTCAACTCATCGATAGAAGAGATGATGTACAACAACATGTTTGGGCCGGGCAACTGCTTAGATCAGATTCGAGATTGTTACGCTACTGGCACCAACCAAGTTTGCAGCACTGCTGATACATTCTGCGCTTCCAATGTAGAGTCGATCCTTGATAAGTACGCCAACAGAGACGAATATGACATCCGAGAGCTCTCCCCGGATCCGTTCCCCTACACTTACTATGTCGATTATCTCAACACTCCTGCTGTTCAGAAGGCGATCGGAGCCTTGCAGAACTTCAGCGAGAGCTCTCCCACTACGTCGAACGCGTTTGGCAACACTGGTGACGATGGTCGAGAGTCAGGCACGATCGAAGGTGTGCGCTCGCTACTGGATCAAGGAGTGCAAGTGGTAATGTACGCCGGTGATGCTGACTACAACTGCAACTGGCTTGGTGGCCAAGTGATTGCCGAGCAGGTAGGGCACAAAGGCTTTCAAGAGGCTGGCTATAAGGATCTGCAGACCTCGGATGGAATCGCGCATGGTCAAGTCAAGCAGAGCGGCCAATTCTCGTTTGTGCGCATCTATGAGAGTGGTCATGAAGTCCCCTTCTACCAGCCTCTCGCTTCACTCGAAATGTTCGAGAGGGTGCTGAACGGAACTGACCTAGCCACTGGCAAGGAGAAGATCTCACCAGACAGCACGTACAAAACCACCGGTCCGGCCAAGAGCACTTACCGGCAAGGCAACACCACTATGCAGTTTGAAGTGCTTCCCTCGAACGCCACCTATGACCATACCACAAATGCGCCCAACACCAATAGTACCAAGATGCCAACGAGTAGCGCCTCGGTAGACATATCTCGCCAAGCCGTGCGTACCGGCGAAATGCTCCGCTCACGCTACCGGTTCCAACGACCTCTCCTATTCTGAAGCAATACCTTAGAGGACTCGAAGAAGCTTTACCTAAATGTCCCCCTTGCCTCTCTTCTGTAACAGAAGATTTAGTTGGAAAGCAGATCTGAGGTCTGCATGTGTCTATGGAGTGCTGTGCTGTAGCAATCTGCTAATGAGCTCTTGAACGTCATGAAAGTCAAAGGGAAAAACGGTGTGGGCGTAGAAATGAGGAGGACCTGTTGAAAGTTGACATCGTTTGGGTCCCGATACTGGTGATCGGGGATAGTCTAAGTACGATGTCACTACTCTTTTAAGGCAGAAACATATACTAAATTGACTGAAGGAATGTGGCGAGAGCTCTCTGTGAGATATACAGCTTGTGTGTAAACTGTCCCACAAATTTACATGTCACCATACATCACTCTAATGCTCAATAGCCATAAGTTGTATTGCCACACTGTCTGATATTGTCTGAAAGCCCTGCTTCTTCTCTCCAAGACTGTGTAAATGATATTGACATTGACTAAGAAAATTGTGCTATGAAGAAGAGCCAATTTATTATTATTATTGTGGGACAGTTTATGGAGTGCTCCTCAACAACACCTTAGTACTTCATATTCCCTCCTTTGGCCTTCAGAACCACCTTGTTGTGGTCTGGCATACTCTCTATTAGCATCCTACATGTCTCTGGAGTGATTGCTGTCCATTCAGCTTCACATCTCTTGAGCAGTTCATCCCTGGACTTTGCAATTGTACTATACTGTGAAAGTTGCATTTTGAGATGGTGCCAGAGGTGTTCAATCAGGTTTAAGTCTGGTGACTGCACCAGCCATTGCATAACCTTAATGCTATTGCTTTCCAACCATGTTGTTGTCTTCTTTGACATGTGTTTTGGGTCATTGTCTTGCTGAAATGTGATGTCAGTGTATGCATGCTGAAGCTGCAAATCTGAGATTGTTTTCACAAGCTTGTCATTCAAGATATCAATGTATTGGTCTGAATTCATTGAACCCAGCACCAAGCACATACCTCCCACCCCTTCCCACATCATACAGCCCCAGATCATGATGGAGCCACTGCCAAACTTGACCATTGGCCTGACAAGCTTGCTGTTGAAGCCAGCATTCTTAATCCAACAGAACTGCTTACCATCTGGTCCAAAGAAGTTGAACTTCATCTCATCAGACCATACCACATTCTTCCAATCCTCAACAGTCATGTCCTTGTGCTCATTAGCAAATTTGTGATGGGCTTTGTAATGTCTCTTGAGTAGCTTTGGTTTTTTCACTAACCTTCATGCTTTGTAACAACAGTAATGAAGTGCTTTTCTTACTGTGGTTGGGCATGCTTTGACTTGAAATGTCTCCTGCAGTGCATGACATGCTTTCCTGACCATGGAGGTTGAATTGAGCTCGAAATAGTGGTCCAGGAAGTGAACATGACAAGGCTGGAGTTTTCTTGGCTGGCCCCCCTTTGACTTTGGAACATCAGCAGAGGTGCTTTTGCTGATGTGATTCACAGTAGACTTGCTCATACCAAGTTGCTTGGCAACTGAATGGGTAGATTCCCCATTTTGGATGTGAAAGAGTGCCAATCAGCACCTCTCTGGGGTGGTTTTTGGCATGATGGTATAGATATGATGGTGTCAGACTGGAAGTGCTGCCAGATTGCTCACAGTCATCTGATTGAGCTGAAACTTTCCACATCACTACTTTCGATGTGTATGAAGGTGCCCACCAAGTTACATTGCAAGTTTCATTGTAGTCAAAAGCCCACAAGGTCAGGAATGGAGTGGTGTCACTATTTGGGAGCATGCTCCATAAACTGTCCCACAATAAAAAAAAAAATTGGCTCTTCTTCATAGCACAATTTTCTTAGTCAATGTCAATATCATTTACACAGTCTTGGAGAGAAGAAGCAGGGCTTTCAGACAATATCAGACAGTGTGGCAATACAACTTATGGCTATTGAGCATTAGAGTGATGTATGGTGACATGTAAAATTGTGGGACAGTTTATGTGCAAGCTGTATATACATTTGTGAGGCTGATACCTATCATGGGAGTATGCTCTTTCATGACCTAGCCTTACAATGAGTGGGACTGTGTTGTATCTGATCTCTCGTTGTATTGGCCCCATCTGATTCATGATTAGATCTCCTTTCCCGATCATACGAAGGATTGATCCGGCCCGATTCTTCGTCGCTTTTGCTCTCTGCTGGATTGTTATTTTCAGCAGGACCAACCCCAAAGTTCGGAAATCGGAAATCGGAAAACGGAAAACGCCTAGGTAACTTTGAGGCAAAAATCGGCTTGCTGATTTCAACTTTATCCTCTCGTCTTCGCCATCATCGCTGATCAACGCACCCTCCCAAACTGTTCGACATCATGGCGGTCAAGTCTAAAGCTCGGTATGTCTTTACGCAACGTAGGGCAGATGTGGCCACTTTGCGGCTGAAAGAGGGCAAAACCTACTGACCAGCGCTCTGCTTTGTCTTCTTCCATCAGTGTGGTAATCGCCCGTATGCTGTCAACAGCAGGCACAGGTTTTATGTACACAACACGCCGAACAAGAGTTGCTGAAAAGCTCAGCATGATGAAGTACGACCCGAAAGGTATGTCGAGTCGATGACCCTTCAACGGCCTTGAGGCAAACGACTGAATAGAGATTTCTTGGCTCGCCTCTTGCTCATTTCCTCTTTCATAGTACGAAAGCATGTCCTCTTCAAGGAGACAAAGGGCTCAAAATAAGAGGCCTGCTCCGATATTATTCTACACAAACTCGCTCGTAATGCATTTGTTCCAGATAGAGTCTCAAAACTGCTATCGAAACTGCTGTCGGAATTGCTGTCGAGAGACGATTCCCGCCGCACAGACTGGTTAGACATAGGGGACACAAAAGCCTTGAAAGAACGAGGAAATTGGTTCGGATGATTACATAGATTTGCAGAAGCAAGGCGAACTAGGAGGTCAAAGGTTGTCGAAGAACAGGAGGTCATCGGCGGTCAATGCAGCACCTCCAGCTGACTTTGTAGGCGCGGATCCCGCCGATATTGGCGTTGACTGAGCTTTGGTAGCATTTGCCGTACTGCTGAGGGGCTGCTGTGAGGGAGCATCACTGAAAAAGTCAGCAAAAGCATCTTTTGCCTGTTGTTGTCTGACTCCGACATCCAGAATGGCTATCTTCGGCGAAGCTGCGTTCGCTCGAGGTGGTGGCACGATGGAAAACCTCTTGTTCTGCACCTGCGGCGGTGGTTGCAACGGGGATGCGGCACTTTTCCGTGCCAGACTACTTGCCCTGCCTAGATTTGTGTTAATGGTCATCATTCCACCATCGCCACTTATGCGACTCGCCGAAAGGCTTGACCGTGCAGATGACGTTGCTGCCGGGCTCGAACCTGGGTTGAGACTTCTCTGAAACACTGGACCGAATAGATTGTCGAAGGGATCTGATGCTGGCGCAGTGATGGGCGGATCAGTTCCTGCGTTTGACGGCGGAGGAGGAGGAGGCGATTGTGTCTGCGTATTCTGAAAGCTGGCGAACGAGTCATCTTCCTCCTCGTCGTAGCGATATTGACTCGTTCTGCTGTCGGTGCTTTCCTGCTCTTCGAGCCAGTCTAGATGGTCTCCTTTGAGGGAACCCGCTGCCCAACCTGGATTAGTCTTCTTGGCTGACGACTTGAACAAACCGCTGTTTCTCCATCTGCTCAGCAAACCAGGTCCCTGAACTTGAGCAGATGCTGGACGCACTGCTGAGCTCGTCGTAGAGGCTGGCGCAGGGCCGGTTTCGAGAGACATGAGATCCGGCCCGCTTGGATCGTCCGAGTATCTACTGGCTGCATTGCCCTGATACGGTTCGAACTGTGCATTTGCTGGTATCGAAGGCGATGCGCCGATTGAATACAGCGAGTTTCTACCTGACTGAGTTTGTGAAGTAGATTGACTTGGAATGGCGTCAGAAATCGCAGCCGCACTCGACGCACTTGTCTGACGACCTTTGAAGAAAGACGCAAGGAAGCTGGGACCAGAAGTGGATCGAGCTTCGTTGCTCGAGGTCTGCATCCAGCCAGGACCAGATGTAGTGCTGGAACTGCTGACAGTCGGTCCTGCTGTCGCTTTCCGGGGAGCGTTTACGTCAGTGTCTCCGAATAGACCGTCCGGTAACCAATCGGCTTTGGGAAGGGGTCGTGAACCTCTTTGCCAGAGAGCACTGTTGTCTGTAGACGCAAGTCTAACGCCACGATTCTCGGTCCTTGCAATCGTGCTGCGGATCTGATCTAAGGTTGCTGGGCTAGCTTGCATCAAATCGGAGCGCAACGCTCCACTCGAAGACATGAGTGCCGGAGGCGCCGTTTGAAGGTGATGAAGCTTGTCGCGTTGTGTGCCTTGACTGCCAAAGAGATGCGTCCATGACGAATCGCTGATGGTTGGGTCTGCGAAACTTGCTTGTGTTTCTTGCTCCGTGTTGATGCTGGAGATAAGCTTGCGAGCATCCACCTTGAGCATGTCAATCTCCTCTCGATCCAGTCGTCTTGCTTTCTCTTCCCTGGAAGACGCCTCTGCTGCCCACACATCCAGATTACTCTCCGTGTTCTCGCCTTCCTCCCGGTCATAGTCATTGTCCGCGCCCTGCAGGGCATAATAATCGGGTGAATGGGCCGTGCTATCAAGCTTGGTAGAGGAGAAGCGCTGTTCGAGCTGGTGCGAGCGCGCTAAGGCCGCATCGGCATTGCTCCATCCGGATGGTTGTGGGTCTGTTTCTAATGTGGGAACGACAGAAGATGGTTTTCGCTGCTGAACATCCCAAGTAGAGGACACGTCAGCCATCCAGGGGTCATAGGAAGAGAGCGATTGCTGTGGAAGGGGAGACGCTGGAGTGCCAGTGTCAGATGGCGGTAAGGACGCTTTGAGAGGTGGTGTTGCTGTTGCTGGACTAAGCTCCGCGCGAATGGCATTCTTCTCTGACTCTTCATGCCATGTCGACGAAGGTAGAGCAGACGAAAGGATGTCCTCTGCACCGCTTATCAACGTGCTGACCGGGTCCGGGAAGGAGCTGGGATCTGCTGCGGGAGTGGCAGCATCAATGGCCCAGGGGTCGGATGCGTCAAAGGAATTAAGCGAAGAAAAGGGCGCGGAAGTGAGCTTGTCGAGAGGATCTGCAGAGTCATCCTTGCCGCTTCGTCTTGGTATTGCCGGTGTCTTCTGAGAGTCGTCGTCGCCCCAAGGACTGGACCATGCGTCCATTGTGCGGACGCTGGACAAGACTGTCGACGGCCTTTCATGAACTGACGAGACGTGTACGCTGTCGGTGTCCCTACCCGGGGATTATTTGAGCCCAGACTGCAATGACATCGAAAGTGGATCTTGGGGAGTGAGCGAGAAGAGAGGAGGTCCGAAGAGGTGCGTACGCCGGTGTGGCAACAAGTGTCGAGATGGGATGATATGAAGAAAGCAGCTAGCAATCGACATGCTGAAAAGCCATGTCTGTCTATCTTTCGGGATTCGGCGACCGCATTACGCCGAAGAAAAGTCACTTTTTATTCCTCCACAAAATAATGCACGGACCACACAGTTGGAACACCAGAAGCTGATACCATCTCCTTGACCAACATGGTCATAATGCTCCTCTGCAACACAACACACAGTCTCTCCAGCCATATCAGCAGCGTTTGGCATAGGGAATGACCACACTAGACGATTTCGCGAGGCTACTGGGAAGCCGGCCGGCTCAATCGCAAATCCAGGCCCTGCTTGGACACGCAGTCTCGAACAGCTTGGAAGCGGAGGTCAAGGCATATCCCGACGTCGTCTATCACAACTACCGCTCAATTGGCTTGAGCTTGCAGTGTGAGTACGCAGGACTCATCTCCCAGGCATAGAGGGCTGTCAGGAACTGATTGTAAGCTCTCCTCCACCTAAACATCAGTCGAAGTTAGCTGCCCAGGCAAAAATGCTTCCAAGATGGGCTCTGACGACCTTTGCTTAGCAGCCATTGACATCTATTCCGCCAACGAGGACAAAAGCTGGACATGCTTTCCGATGCTTCCACTGCAGATTGATGCGCTTCGTGATGATAGCGCAAGTGAGCAAGTCAAAGCTACCATCACGCAAGCTATCACCGGTAAAGATCTTGTGAGCTCGCTAGGCGAGCCCCAACGCAAAGGCGGCGCAGCTGGACCTCCTTCCGGCCCTGCAGCTTGGATGGAGTGGAGTCTCAAGCTCGACAGGTCAAACTCGAATGAATCTGATCCAACCACTTTGCAGATCGAATTAGCAGGCGCTGGAGCTCGTGGAGCGGATCGCTGGAACGCCGAGCGTGCTGGGAATTGCAAATGGGCTGTCATCACCGTTAGCCCACATAGAACACGATGAATGAAAGAGGTTAACATGCTATCACTTGCATTACTGACTCCCAAGTGTAGACTCTCAAATGAGCCGAGTGCGATTAATTCTTGCTGAAGGATAGCTCCTTCTGAATCTCGCCAATTCGAGTCTTCCAGCCTTCGACTTGTGCCATCTTCTTTTCGAGATCCTCGATCTCGTGCTCCATGCTCAGCTCTTCCGTCTCGGCTCCGATAAAGTCGGTCTCCCATGCACCCTTCTCTCCCGTCAAACGCAACAGCACTTTGTGGTACTTGAAGAGCGAAGGTCGGTGCGAGATGGTAATCAGTGTGATGCCGAGCTCCTTGGCTTTAGCGTACATCAGCCCTTCCACATCAGTGGAAACGGCGCTGGTGCACTCGTCGAGGATGCCAAAGCGAGGTCGGTGGTAAAGCAAACGAGCCATGCCCATGCGCTGCTTTTCACCTCCCGATAGTACATCCTTCCATTCCTTGCGAGTCTCCCAGCCTCCCTCTCGCGTTGGCAAGTAGGCGAGGTGGACGTCCTGAAGGATGCAAAGCAGGTCTTCATCAGTCCTGCCTGAGGCAACATGCTCCGGATAGGTGTAAGGGTAGATGACCTGCTCGCGAAGGCTTCCGACCGAAAGGTAAGGCCGTTGGGGGAGGAACATGATGTCCTGCATCGAGGGTCGCTCCAAACGACCCTGGAAGACGGGCCACAAGCCGGCCACAACACGAGCGATAGCAGTCTTGCCGACACCGTTGGGACCAGTGATGAGGATGTGCTCGCCTGGCTTGACGCAAAGTGTGAGGTCCTTGACGAGCTCCTCGCCTCCACGCTCGAGCCCTGGTGCCGGAGCGACAATAGGAACCTTGTCAAAGACGAGCGAATCGGATCCGGCAACCACCTTTCCTTGAATATGACCGAGGTCGTAGAAAGGCTTGTCTGCGGGCAGATCGAGGGGACGCGGCATCGACTGGTATCGTTCTTTGTTGAGCAGATGCAAAGTTGAGATGAGCGTATAGACACGACTGGTGAAACCAGCAAGCTCGGCGAGCTCTTTGTAACTGTACATGAGTCGACTTCCAGCGTCGGCGAGTGAGAGAAGGAGACGACGGTTGGAGATGTAGGATTCGGTCTTGGAAGCTACTGTGCTGTCGACCGACGGCTTCTTGGGTACCCCTTTCAAGGGGGCTGCAGATTCATCTGCCGACTCGCATTGTCGTTTCTTCTGACCCAAGAGGAAAGGGGCTGCAATGATGACATATCCGGCGGCGGACCAGGCATACTTGAGAACAAAGTCTTCGGTCATGTTGAAGGCGACACGGATCTTGAAAATGCTGTTGATGTGTCGCACAAGACGGATGTAGGCGCGGTTTAGAATGCCAGCTTCGATGGATGCACCGTTGTAAAAAGCAATCTCCTCTGCATTTGTGATGAGTCGGCTGTGTGCCGAGCGGAAGTCACCCTCGAGCTTGGCTTCGATGGCGGCGAGCTTGCCGAACGCCGGCGTAACTTGGCGCAAGATCCAGCCAGTGATGAGATAGTTGAAAGTGAGGCCGAGAATGCCCATCGGGCCCAGTGATCGGCTGAGGGCGTAGTTGAAGATGATCAGATCGAGTACCGGCTTGGAGACGTTGGAATAGAGGGCAGCGAGCGTTTCACAGAAGCGTGCAATGTCGGTGGTGATGTACTGATCGGCAGCATCAAGACGACCGTCCAAGTTGATGATGCGGTAGAAGTTGGCCTTGTCATTAAGATAGAGGTCGTGAACGTATCTTGTGAGTCGTGTGCGGAAGCCGATAGCGAGTTTGGACTGGAGGAAGCGAATCATGGAGTTGGTGTAGGTGGAAGGGATGCTGAGCAGGAACCAAAGACCCAAGCCTCGCAAGAAGCCGCGGCCATTGGCAGAGACGAGGTCACGGACAATGATACCATCGAGACGGGCGACGAGCATAGAAAGGTAGGTTCTGAGGACAAGGAAAGAGGTGTGTAGAAAGAAAATGAAGACCTCTTTGCTGTTTCTGTGGGGAATGAGGATGCGGAAGATAGCCTTGAGCTGACGGAGGAATTCCTTGTTGACACCGACCTTTTTGGCAGTAGCAGCGGCGGCACCACCCTCTGCACGCATGGCCTTGGCATCCTCGATCTGCGAGCGTTTGGCATCCTCCTCGGTGAGCTGCTTGTTTTTGGCGTTGGCAGCGCCCGCGTCTGATGTCGGTGGAAGCCTGTGGAAGAGGGAGAAGTGGGACTGGAAAGTATGAAGTTTGGTCGGCTTTATGGGTACTTTGGATACACGTCCGCGGTCTGGCACGAGAAGTTGGCGAGAGCCATCGGGTTTAGGAAGGTAGACCTGCTTTAAAGCATCATCGACGTGGATTTCGTCAGATCTCGAAGCTCTTCTCGCAAGCTTGCCCAGGTTCTGGTTATGAAGATATTGGTTGAGTCGGCTGCGAAGGGAGAAGAGGGCGAGAAGGGCAAGAAGAGCGATGGCTTGCTTGCCTCTCTGTTGTGGTGAAAGGAAGTGTACAAGCCAGTTCGAGTCGTGACGAAGCTTGGACTGGACTGCCATGGTGTTAGCGGTGACACGCTAGCGCTGTAGCTGTCGATGGAGCGAGTCGAAGCCAGAGCTTGTTGTGATCGGAAGGGAAGGGCGTGTTCAAGCTGGATCAGAGGGATGACCGTGATGAGGATGATGGTGATGAACAAGTGTTATTCGAGTGTTGCGTGTGAAATGTAATTCGGACCGGGAAGGTGAACGAGCCGTTTGGCCGTGTGAGAAAGAAAGAAAGAAAGAAAGAAAGAATTATCGTGCGAAAGAAAGAAAGAAAGAAAGAAAGAAAGAAAGAAAGAAAAAATTATCGTGCGAATGGATAGATGCGCATTTTTTCAATTGTGAGTGAAGGGTCACGTGATCAACGCGCAACACTCCATTTCGTCGCAATGCTTCGATAACTCACCGTTGAAGAAAAGGGTTCTGGCAGTCGATAGTGTAGAGGCTAACAACCAGCAACCAGCAACCAGCAACCAGAGAACAGGGTGAATGCCGAGCGATTGCGAGAATATCAAGGGAGATTGACAGGGAGCAGCGGCCAGGGAGAGAGAAAGAGTTGCTTTGCTGTCTGTCTGTCCACTTGCGGAGAAGAGATGCCAAAGCGACTACTGAGCGTATCGCGGCGCGAACACGGCGCGTTCCCAGTTTGCGTGATAAATCGACTTTTGATCGGGCATTGCTTGGTCGAACCAGCTTGCATCGGGTCTAATACAGATTTTGTTTCAAAGATCAGATCTAACAGCCACACTTTGAGTCTCAATGCAAGGAGCTAAATTGAGGTTCGGCCCCCTTTTTTCTCTTTTTCCTGGCTGGCTTGGTTGGCGCTTACCTATTCCTGCTCATTTCCAGCTCCGACAGAGAAGGGAGAGACAAAGCATTTCGCCTTGACAAAAAATTCGAGCGGGACGGGCGTCTCGGCATAGCTTTTTTTCCCATTAGGGATGTTCAAGCCGTCGCGCGAGGCTAAAGAAATTAGAGTAAAGCAGCAGGCGTGTTCAGCCAGAAAAGCTCATCTGGGTTGAAGGATGATTATATAATGATGATGTTATAGCTCGCGCCTGACTTCAACTGAGCTAACCTCTACACTGAATTGAAAAGTTGAAGATGCATCGGCATCCTAACATGAACTATGGGGTCTGCAGAGTTCAAGCAAGATAATAGTGAGTCAGAGTTGCATATTGACATGCATCAACATGCATGTGGGATGTATAAATGATACAACCATAACACTCAGGGAGAGACAATGACCAGAAAGTGACAACACAGGGGCCATATGAAAGAAGAGTTCATTATGACATAGCAGGTGTTAAGGATGATGATCAAGTATATATACATGCTCATGTTGTAGCACTCACAAATAGAAATAACAAGCATTTTTCAAGAAGTTATACACCTGTGAAGTTGAGCTTGCTAGTAGCTCCGATTGGCGGTGTTTTACTTGCAATCTTCAATTGATTAAGAGTCTGAAGCTCTACTGACTAAGCCAACCAGGATCATTGACAACATGGTACAAGAGGCCAAAGCTCAAGCTGTCACAAGCAAGGCCAAAGGAGGAAGAAAGGGAAAGATAACACAACCACAAGCTGTTGACAACAAGGCCACCAATGAGTCAGACACTGAGGCAATTGACAACAATGCTGAGGAAGAAACTGACTCCGACTCGGATCATGACAACAATGGAAAACAATACAATTTTCATACCCTAGCAAAACTACTTGAGCCTGTCCCAAAACTCACATTGCACAACTATTATAGTTGGAGCACCCATATCAAGTCTTTCCTATGATGTGTCCCCTATGCTATGAAGCACCTCAATGGAGTGTGCAACAAGAAACATCCAAAGTGGAACTGAACATTTGATGATGCCTTAACAAATGCACTATGCAGTACCATCGACACCACTGGAGAGTTCAATATCAATTACCTGATCCTTGACATCATCAGGGAGCACCATATGTTCCATAATGTATGGAAGAAGATTGAAAATGGACTCACCAATGAGGCTACCACCATATCTCATTGCATTGCACTAATCGCTCAGCTAGGAGAGCTCAGGATGTACAATTCAGATGCACAAAAGCTCATCCAAGAAATAAGGACCATCCAAATGGAGAGTAGGTTACTGGGAAAGCCATTCACTGATGACACTCTATTTTCTAATCTACAAAAGTGTACTATCCAACACCCAATGTACAAAGAGACCATCACCACTGTGAGCCAGCTCAGTTTTAGTGCACTTGCCACTGCCCTATCCATCTGGCAATCAGCGATCGAGAACAACCCCACACTGAGGGTTGATCCCCAACAAGCCAGTGCCAGAGTTGCCAGCAGCAATGACCAGGATGAACCACCTGGAAAGGACAAGAAGGACAAAAAGGACACTGACAGCACCAGCACCAAGGTTGCTGCAAGACCCTGAAGGCTCCGATGTTGGATCTGCAAGAGGCCTGGACATGGGATCAGTCAATGTGATGCATTGTGTCAGGGGTCTCGCGCCAGAAACCCAGGTCGGTCTGTCGAGATACTCGGTGACTGTCGAGTTGTGCAACAGCTATTGTCTCAGTGTTGGTCTCGACGAGCTAGTCATTTGGTGACTATCAAGTTGCATGATGACAGCAGGTGGCATTCATTGTATATACTATCATAGGTTTCAGCTGACCTCTGTGGACACTCTGTTCAGGGGTAGCTTGGCATGATCAATATCAATGCTTAGATTATGATGACACCAAGGTCTGGTGTGAGTGTTGATGATGATGAGGTTGATGGTGTTGGTGATAAGGTTGGTGGTGTCAACACGAGTGTCCAGTGTGTTGACTGATGCTTGAGGTTATCCCCAGACCACAGTGGACTACTGCCTTCGGTTCTATCTTGATCTGGACCGCTAACCTGCTATGGGCACCTTCGGATGTCAGGTAGTGGTGATACAACACACACACTACGATGAGGAGCAACCTTGATAGATTGCTGCTATGCTGACTGTAACTAATGAGTACTTGTGTTTCTAAAGTATTGACTAGTTGTATGGTTGTGTAGAGTGGATGAGGATCCACTTGACCTTTGATGATGAGAAAGCATGGTTATATACCTCTTCACAGCATCGCCAGCAACACTGCTCCTGCTCTCTCTCCAGAGAGTACCTTCTTCATCAAGTACTGCTCAGGGGCCTCTCCTGCTTGGCACCCCTGTGCCTCTTGAGTGGTGTTGACTCCTTCGACACTGCTCCTCCTCCTCATGACCTGGTGTCGACTCCTTTGACACTGCTCCTCTTCCTCAGGACCTGCCTGCTAGTGTCCTATACACTGCTCCTTCTCCTTTGACCAGTGACAGTTCCTTTGACTCTTGTCTCTCGAGCCCCTGAGTGGTAACCATCTGAGCTTGGTCCTCTTCGTGGCTGTGCCTGCTCCTTGAGCTTGGTCCTCCTCGTGGCTGTGCCTGGCCCTGTCCTCCTTTGCATGTGAGTCTGTAGGAGTCCATGGTCTCCATGGAGACTGCACTACGGCCATGCTCTCTACTGGTATCGACTAGATCTCCGATACCTGTGCTCCTTCCATATGAACCCGTGACCCTCCTGCTTCTTGAGCATCCAGGCCCATGACAAGTGGCATGGGGCTTCACTCAAAGAGAGGGTATTGACTATATGGAGGTTTTCGCCCCTGTGGCACCTATCCAGTCAATTTGAGGAGTTTTGGCTATGGCAACTGTATGAGACTGGGAAGTAGATTGTGTCGACATTAAGCAGGCATACCTGAACTCAACACTGCATCATGACATTTTCTTAAAACCACTGCTTGGGATGAAGGTTCCCTCTGGAAAGGCTCTAAAACTAGTGAAAGGACTATATGGTTTAAAACAATCAGGTAGAGAATGGAATGTAGAGCTAGACTCACACCTATGAAGAATAGGTTTCTACTGCATGCCAAGTGCCCCATGCTTATACTCAAGAGGAACAGGCAATAGCATGACAATCATCACAGCATATGTGGATGACATGCTCATAGTGTCACCCAGTCATATGGAAGTAGATTGCACTAAAAATGAGATAATGGCAAAATGGGGAATGGAGGATAAAGGACCTGTGAAGGAGTTCCTAGGTATAAGCATAGACTGAGACAGGGTATGAAAGAGGATGACACTTGACTTAATGGCTTATATTAAGGCTATGGTGAGAAAATGGCTACAAACAACTGATCAGAAGTCATGGATACCAATGCAGAGCCTAACAGGTGTTATGGGTGGCAACAAGTGCAACCCATTAGTGGCAAAGCAGTACCAAGAACTGGTTGGACAACTTTTATGGGTGTCTAACACTGCACAGCCTGACACATCATTTACCATAGGAGCACTAGCAAGATACATGTCAAGCCCAACAAGCAATGCATGGAAGGCAGCACTACACTTGGTAAAGTACCTCAATCAAACCAGTGAGTACAAGCTAGTTTTCAGAGATGGAATGAACAAACATTTGGGACAACATATCGTCACATATACTGATGCAAATTGGGCATTGGACCCAACGAACAAATGAAGGAGCACATCAGGAGGAGTAACATATATATATATGGATGCCTGGTTAGTTGGAGGTCACATGTTCAAAAGTGCATAGCACTGTCAGCAGTAGAAGCTGAGTTTGTAGCTGCCTCAGAAGTGACAAGAGAGGCCCTCTTCTTCTCATACCTCCTCAGGGACCTGGGAATTGAGGCTCAGCCACCAACACTATGGACAGACAGCCAAGGATGTATCCAGGTAAGCAAAGACCCTGCCAAGCATTGGAAATTGAAGCATATTGACACAAGATATCATTTCATCAGAGATCATGTTCAGGAGGGAGAAGTCAAAATCGATTTTGTTGGGACAGCAGACAATGTCACAGATATCCTCACAAAACCATTAAAAGGTCTGGCCACATCTTGGATTGCATGTCTGATAGGGTTGACGATGCCATCAAGGGAGGGAGTTGAAGATGCATCAGCAACCTAACATGAACTATGGGGTCTGTGGAGTTCAAGTGAGATAATAGTGAGTCAGAGTTGCATACTGACATGCATCAACATGCATGTGGGATGTATAAATGATACAACCATAACACTCAGGGAGAGACAATGACCAGAAAGTGACAACACAGGGGCCATATGAAAGAAGAGTTCATTATGACATAGCAGGTGTTAAGGATGATGATCAAGTATATATACATGCTCATGTTGTAGCACTCACAAATAGAAATAATAAGCATTTTTCAACAAGTTATACACCCATGAAGTTGAGCTTGCTAGTAGCTCCGATTGGCGGCGTTTTACTTGCAATCTTCAATTTGAAAACACAGAAATTCCAACCCTGGAATTTTGCAGGCTAGCAGCTTCCCTTGAATTAGTAGCGTAAAGTTCCTCTCGGAGTAATGCTCCTCCGAAAAGATGGTTGCTGACAGTTGCTGACGTAAGTTGCTGACGTAAGTTGCTGACGTAAGTTGCTGACGTAAGTTGCTGATGATAATTGCCGTTGCTGTCGCCGATTCTCTTTCTCGTTCCTTCTCTCGTATTCAGTGCAGTGCTGTTGGTATCAGAAGTTGCTCCCCTCCTCCCCTCTCTCTATCTCTTCTTGTTGGTTGTGGTTGGTGCTCATCCGAATCTCCACTTCTGCTTGGCTTCAGCAAGGGTGTTCTACCGCTTCATCTCCTTCTTTCATCCCTCATCCCTTCCAGTTAACCCTTCCGGCCCTGTCCTTTGCTCGCTCCACATAACTGACCTCATTTCGACCATCTCGTCGCCGCCGTCGTACGGAGGAGTGTCCTTTCGTATTCCAACCCGACGTTTGGCCTCGAGGCCACAGATAGCCGACTGCCCTCGTATCTGGCGTAGCAAGCAACATACTTGACCATGAACAGCACGCCCCCCTCTCAGGACTTTCGAACATCGGGGCCAAGCCCAGCGTACGAATCCGACGCATACGCTCAACCGCACCAACAGATTCGTGATCCAACAGCACGAACCTCTTCATTTTCGGCTCAGCCTACATCTTCTACCATGCCAGCATCTCAGTCCTTTCCGAGCTTCAACACTCGTCAAGGTGCTCCTCCCAACCTTGCCTCTCCTCTGCCTGGCCCTGGTGCTCCTTCTGCTGTTGCTACCAACCCGGCATCAACCCGAGCTTTTCAGCCAACCCACGGTCACAGTCAGTCGACCAGTGTCCTTCTCAACTCTTCCGCTCGTCAAATGTACAAGCCACAGTCGCCGCAGTCATCGCAACAACCAGGCTCGCTCAGATCAGACAGCATGCGTCCTATGTCTGCTTTCCAGCCTCTCGATAATCCTGATTATTACGCCAACGGTGGTGTCGGCGGTGCTAGCCCAACTTCCCCAAGACCTCCTTCTCCCACCGGCTCTACAGCCAGGTCCATTCGATCAACCGCTCAAACTCTTCTCACCTTCAAGAGCCAAGACCTACGTAGTGCTCTCAGCCTCCAGGAATCGCAACAGAAGAAGCTTTACATGGAAGGCTACCTTCTCAAACGAGACGACCTTGGAACCGATGGCAAGCCTCTTCACGTCGCTGACGACAAGCGCCGCTGGTCTGAATGCTTCGTTCAGCTTTCTGGAACTGTTCTCAGTCTATGGAACGTCGATCAGATGAAGCAAGCAGCAAAGCATGCCACCGAGGTACCACCTACTTACATCAACATCACCGACTCCTTTGTCGACTTTATCGGTCTTCTCATCGAAGATCCCAAGCTCATCCCTGGCAGTCGCGGCCGTTATCACCATGCATTCGCTATCAACTCGGCCGGCAACAACCGAACCATCTTTTGCTTCCGCGATCCTCCTCCCTTCCCTCCCGAGTCGCTTGAGCAGTGGCTTGCTCCTGAGCATCGCCAGAAGCCTCAACATCGCACCGTCATTGGCTGGCTCAACCTCGGACACCGTCACCTCCAGGCTTGGATCAATGCCATTCGCCTTGCATCTTGGGAGAAAGTCCGCCTCGAGGAGATCTACACTGGCGCTCTTATCCGTGCTCGTCTCGGTGCTATCGGCGCTCCCGGCTCGTCCACCCCTGATGGTGTCAAGGATTCACCTGCTGTCTCAGTTTCCGACATGACTATCAAGTCTCCTCTCCTTAAGGGCAAGATGGAAGGTTGGGTCAAAGCTCGCTTCATGGGTTCCACCGAATGGAAGAAAGTCTGGATGGTTCTTACCGACCACAAGCCCGATGAGTCAGAGTTTGGTACCAAGAAGAAGTTTTGGAAGATCGGATCCTCTGGCGGCGATCGTTCTAGTATCATGAGCCTCAACAGCAGCTCAACAGCTGCTCCCGCGGCTCTTGGGAACGACGGCAAGGAGCTTCCACCTCCACCTGGCAGTAATGGCGCTCCTGGTGTTGCTAGCTTCTTTGAGAACAAGAAGGACAAGAAGCCCTTTGCCTCTCTCATCTATGCTGCACACGCCTTTGCCGTCTACCCTTCGCGTCCCGAGCTGGTTGAGGGCTCTTCTCTGTTCAAAATTGAGGGCGTCTTCCCTTCCAGCACTGTCCTTTCCGCTACTCATCGTGTTCGCAGCACGGGTTGGGTTATGCTCATGCCCGAGCTCGAAGCTGCTGGTAGCAAGGGTGCCAACGCCGAGATGATGAAATGGCTCATCGCCTTTATGGACTCTTTCAAGCTCTACGGTCGTCCTGAAACCTTTGTCTGGGAGGCGCGCGACCCCATCTCGCCCTTCTTCGCCTATCCCATCGGTCCATTCAAAGATCGTCTTTTCCTCGACAGGGAGCTGGCTGAATTCCTTGAGATTGCTCGTGAAGACCATCTCACTACCCGTGCTTCGTTGCACGGCATCATGGCCGCTCGAATGCGGGGCGAACGCACCAAGATCCTCCAGCCGCTTCCACCTCCTTCTCAAAACATGCTTATCCCATCCCGTAGTGCTGCCGCGCTTACACCTGTAGATGAGCCTCGAACGGCTTCTCGAGCAAGTGCTGCTGATTCCGGCTCGCGATTGCCTCCTTTCGACTTTGATTCGAGTCGCGACCAGCCCCCAGCTTCCATCGTTGCCAATACCCAAGGTCCCGAAGACGCTGCAGAGCTCCCTGCCGAGCTTCCGCCTCGGATTTCGCAAGCCTTCAGAGATTCAGCTAGGGGCGACTTTGCTGACGATCAGCGTCAGCGTCCCTCTTCGCCCAATTTCGATGCCTCTCGACCGCCTCGAGAGGCTCGTCCCGATCAATTCGGTGCAACTCAGCCTTCCCTGCACAATACGCCCACCACCACGCAGGTCTCTGCAGCTTCTGTCACAACTGTGTCCGCCCCTGCAGAGCCTGTCGCTGCGGTGCCGCCGAACAATGCAATTTCCTCCTCCAACGCTGCACGGGCCCCTGTCGTTGCACCGATCAACACTGCAACGCTTTCCAACGACCAGGCTGATGAGCGAGCCAGCATTCGTGCAATCCCAGCCGCCTCACCCCGGGATGCTTCTAGCAGCGTCCTTGCTTCGTCACAAGCTCCTGCTTCCATGCAGAGTTCCGCGCCGGCCCGCGCTCCTGAATCTTCGCTCACATACCTCAGCCCCAACGCCGGAGTCCAGCCCATGTCTGCCTCCTCGTCTCAAGCCGAGTCGGTCGCTTCGCGAGCTGCACCTGTGTTCGGGCCGTCCGGCCGAGGTGCAGAGCAGAACGTCACCGAAGAGCCTCGCTCGACCAAGCGCGACTCTGACTTGCCGACCAACTACGATGAGAGCGCTCTCTTCTACATGGCTTCCATCTCTGACCAGCTTCCTGCTCCTACCTCGCAGCCTGTCGTCATGTCGGCGCCTAGCGGCAATGTCGTCACCAAAGAGAGCTCTCAAGCTTCGCGCCCTCAGAGTCTCGCGCCAGCTTCCGGTGCCACTTCTGCCATTCAGTCCGAAAGCACTCATACCACGCGTCTCTCGTCTGACCAGCCACAGGCAACCACTGCAGCAGCAACTGGCCCTGTACAAGCTGAGCACGTCAAGCCCGAGCAGGCGCAGACCGTGCCAAGGGCAAACCCGACTCAGGACGACACCATCAACGACGACGCGCTCGCCGCCTACTCTTTCCTGGAACAACCTTCATCTCCCGCACTCAGGACCAAGGAGATCGCCCCCAAACCTATCGAGTCGGACCATACCGCAGTTTCTCCCGTTCCACCGGTCGTTGCGACACAGCCAGCACCCAACACCACCACGCAGACGTCTACGAACAGCAACTTCGGCGCTCGTCCGGCTGGCGTGCAGTACCCGTCCACCTTCGGTCAGAACAAGAGAGCTGCCGAGCGCAAGTCTGCCGCTCAGCTCCAGGCGCAAGCGCACCAGGAGGCCCTCTCTCGACCCGGTCGCGCTGGTGGCAACAAGCCCAAGGGCATCCGTCGTCCTGGCTGGGTAGACGACAGTGAGGAGGAGGAAGACGAAGAGGAGGAGGAAGACGAAGAGGAGGACAATGAAAGTCACCAGGATGCACGCGCTGCTAACAGGGCTGGGCCAGCTGGCAGTATTGCCCGCTCCGCTGCTAGCCCTAACCGTGGCGCCCCAGGAAGTGACTCGCCTGTCAACCTGGCCGACTCCACGGGCAGTCTTGGGCGTAGCAACGACCAAGCTATGCAGGGCGCTGCTGGTACTTTCCCGCGATCCACTTCTGGCTATGGCGCAAGCATGCTCGGTGGTTCTCGCTCTGCCTCGCCGGGCCAGTCGCCTGCACGAGCTGGGATGCCAACTCACCCCTCGATGCAGGCATATCAGCGGCAGTCGATGTTTAACACCCACCTCGCTGTTGCTCACGGCGACGACTCTCGGTCCAACACGCCACCTCAGGGTCCTATCGTGCGCGATCGTCAGACCTTCTTGCAGCTCAACCCTGAAGAGCAGCCAGGTGCGATGACCACTGTTTTCACGCCACACGGACTCGTTCAAGCCGGTGCGCAGGACAAGGCGGAGCGATCTGCCAAGGCGCAAGAAGCAGAGGCCAGAGCCATGGGCAGCCATCTGGTTAATGTGCCTAACAAGCCTCCTCCTCCCCAAGCTGGTCTCCTAGGCGCAATCACTGCCCACGAGCGCGATCGCAAGGGTGCTGGTGGCTTTGGTGCCACCCTCACCGAACGTGAGCGCGAGCGTGCCGCCGCTGAACGACGTCAACGCGAAGAGGATCTTGTGCGACAGCAGCAGCAACAGATGCAACAGCAGCAGATGGCGTACTTTAACCCGATGATGTACCAGCAGATGATCATGTCTGGCATGATGGGTGGTATGGGTGGTATGGGTGGTATGGGTGGTATGGGTGGCGTGGGAATGATGGGCATGCCACACATGGGTGCATTCGGTGGCTCGCAGATGGGTGGCATGGGTGGAGGATTTGACCCTATGATGGCACAACAGCAGGCTATGCAGGCTGCCCAGATGGCTTACATGAATGCATTGCAACAGGCTCATCATGAAGGTTCGGCGCTCGGTCATGGCTCGCCCACTGGCACACCTGCCTCTACAATGGGCATGCCTATGGGCGGAATGCCTTTTATGACTAGCCCCCATATGAGCATGATGGGCGCCCCTTATCCTGGCTTCATGTCTGCCATGGGTGCAGCACAGTCCGAATTTGGAGTAGCCGGCACTACTTCACCTTTGCCACGTCCATCTTCGACCAAGCCCAATGGTCAGGCTAATGGACAGAACAACGTTTAGATGTTGCTTGGTCTCGATGCAATCTTGACCGTTTTCTCGTTTTCTCGTTTTCTTGTCACCTCTACTTTTAAGCTTGCACAATGTTTTTCTGTCATTTTTTATTTTTTTTATATGGATAAGATCGTAGAAATGAACAATGTTTTCCGGCCTTGGTCGATCTGTATGATGAACATGTGACAAGGTCTAGGGAGAACTGTTGCAAATGCTGATCTTCAAGTGAGTGTGAGCGACCAGAATGAAATGCCGAACCCATGTTAGTTTGCAAGGCTGAGTGTTAGTGTCGACAAGAATGTCGGCCTATTGCTTCCAAGCGGCGAGAGCAACAAAGCCTTTGTCGAATCTGTGTTCAAGACTGACAATGATCCAGGCTGGATCGGATTGCTTCCATCTAGTTAAGAATTCTGCCAGGCTCTCGTTGCTCCTCATCTCGCACGAGATCAGGACGATTGTCCTTTGGCTGTCGGTGAAGACATTTAGCGTTGCGATGAGGGCATCGAAGAGACCGGGGTTGTAGATGCAGTCGCAGCAGATGATGAGGTCAGCACCTTTAAGCTTCTCTTGGTGCTCTGTTGTGGTAGCTGAGGGTAGGAGCTGGTCGAGAACATGCTTCTTCCTCAGCTGTGCAGAGCGCATCGAGGGTGGGTTGAGAAAGTCGAACCAGTCCAGGGAGGCTGTCTTGACCCGCTCGTGCTGGGAGAGGTTCTTTCTTAGCAGCGGAAGCAGCTCATCTTGATCGGTAGCTAGCCATTTGCCGCTCAAGTCAGCCACCAGAGCCGGCAGCGCACCTGTCCCCGCACCAAGTTCGAGCACCGTTGCGTCGTTGAAAAGACACGGATCAAAAAGAGCACCTGAATGAAAGCGAATGGCAAGCTCGACGGTGGATCTCCAAACAACGCTGCCTGTGTTGCCCTTGGACGAGCGAAGGCTAGTGACGTCCTGATAGATGGGAGTGATGAGCTTGCCAGATAAGTTGCGCTCGCTTGGAGAAGAGGACCAAGTGTTTCGGTCGATAGAGATGAAGATCTTGTCGGCCGAGTGATTCACATAGCCTAGGCCACCATCATGCTCTGATTTGGCATTCAGTGTATAGAGCAGGAAGATCTCTTGGTCGACATCCTCTACCAGTCGTCCGGGTCTTACATGGAGAAGCGCATTAGGGGGAGCCGGCAGATCTTCTTCATCGTCGTTATCGCAAACGGGACGGCATTCCTGAAGCGATGGGTCGAAGGACATGACCCTGGCTACAGCCTGTCCGGGCGAGGAATGGTTTTGCGAGCCTTATCGAAGGCGTTGCAGGTCTTGAGAGCAGACAGCGTCAGATCTTGACGAGAAGTGGGCGCAGAGAGGTATGCGGTATGCGAAGGGTGCCGCAGTGAGTTGGTCAGGGTGCAATCGTATCGTCTTTTCGTTGAACACGGATCGGCGATTCACTCAGGGTTTGCGGAGACGGTGGGAGTGGAAACTTCTGACGGTCTTTCGCTTGAGCAGATGGCGTGACGACGGTGTCGGCGTATATCCGGATGCTGACTGATTTGAGTGACCTGAGCGAGTTTGAGATCTCGAGACAGGACCGGTCAGTTGCCGCGAAGAGCTGATGAGAGAGTGTGGAGAGAAGGTGCGGGAAAACAGTCGCCTGGCTCTCCTCGCAGCGCATCAACGTCACCGCAACAAGCAGTCCGAACTTTCTTATCGATGCGGCTCCCTCTTGTACATTCGGAGCTGCCGACGGGCATCACAAAGCAAGAGCGGCTAACCCGATGCCGTTGATCAGCAGGTAAGGAGCTATTTCAATCGACTCTCGACTAGCAGCTCGACCTTGACACAGACACCAAGCAAGGGCAACCAGTAGAGGGCAACCAGTAAAGGGCAACTCCGGGAAATTCTGGCTTGTGCATGCGCATGCCTTTGTCTCTCCCCACGCCCCCCCCACTTTTCGTCTGAGGCGTTGCTGTCTGTGATTGGTCGACGTGTTCTCACACTGCAAAAAACTGCTGCGACAAGCGAGGTGAAAATGAGAAGCCGCTTCGCCTCCATAGGCCGTCCTTCTTCTTGGATGGTTGGTTGGTCTGCGACTGCAAGTTGCCAAAATAGTCAATCCGATTTCCGCTTCACCACCGTCACATCGCATTGATTGCAACTTGATTGATATTCGCATCCCTCACAAAATTCCAGATTGCTTGAGAGACAGAGCAGAGCAAAGGAGCGCGCGTTAGCCTTTCTCTCTGATCCATCGATTCCCCTTTGGAACTTCTCAACAAGAGCGTGCGGAGCTTGCTTGGCTGCCTTCTCTTCAAGCACTCCTTACGCCCATCGGCTGATTCAGTGCGTCACATCTTGATCGTGTTGGTTGCTTGCCGCTTTGGTTGGACCTTGTTGTCATCTTTCTTCCATCACCCTTTTCCCCTCCTCTGCAGCTATGGCGTCGCACTTGCGCAAGGTGTTTGGCTCCGGTCGCGCAAAGTCGTCGGCTTCTTCCTCCAGTCACGGTCGCCTTCGATCCGAAGATGATCAGGCCAGCTGCAACAACTCGAACCCAAGCTCTCCTGCTCCTTCTCTCAGCAAGGCTTCGTCTAGAGTCTTTGGTCGATCTGACCGTGGTACATCTGCCAGCCCTTCCTCTCCGGCTCCCACTACTCCTTGCAAGAACACTGCCACCTCTTCACAGCCTCAGCAGCAGTCTTCCCAGCAGCAGCTTCCTCCTGCTCCTCCTGCCAAGAGCGAACAGCAGCAAATTACCCCGATGCCATCTCGGCCCACTGCTGAATCGGCTGCTCCGACCACTCCTGCCGCAGCTACTGTAAGCACTGCTGTTCAGACTCAAGCTCCCACTTCGGCTGCTCCGACTTTGGCTGCTCCTGGCGCCAGTGACAATCAGAACACGGGCCAGGTGGCTGCCTCCAAATCCAAGATGGCAGATTCTGTCAAGCCCCTCTCGATCAACATCCCTGCTAAGAACCAAGACGCTCCTCAGCCCGCTGCCGAACTTCCCAAGAAGCAGTCCAAGTCCGAGTTCAAGCCCACCAACGCTTCCGTCGGATCATTTGCCGACAGGGATGATCTGACCCCTGTTGGTCTCTCCAATAAGCCGTCTTTCCACTCTCGCAACACTGCTGACCAATTCCGCGCAGAATATCACCCAGACAACGCCTCCAAGTACGCCAACCCCAAACACTACTCGGCTCGTCCCGAAACCTACCACCGCAAGTCGTTTAGCGCTGCTCCTTCTCAGTCTGCTCTCTCTCAGTCTGCTCTCTCTCAGTCTGCTCCCTCTGTAGGAGAGGCCACCCCTGCTGGCTCTCGTCGTCAGTCTGGCAGCGAACACGACCTTGGCCACGGAAGAGGTCCTACGGGTAACCTCGATTATGTCGTCGATGCTCATTCCCATGGCAACCACTGGATCTCGGCCGAAGACAAGCGTCTCCAGGAGGATGTCGACAAGCAGCGTCACTGGAAGCGATGGGGTCCCTATCTCAGTGAACGTCAGTGGGGCACCGTTCGTGAGGACTACTCTGCTAACGGTGACGCTTGGACTCACTTCCCTCATGAGTTGGCCCGTAGCCGTACTTATCGATGGGGTGAGGATGGTCTTGCCGGTCTCTCTGACAACCACGCCAGAATGGGTTTGAGTCTTGCTCTCTGGAACGGAAAGGATCGCATGCTTAAGGAGCGTCTTTTCGGTCTCGCCAACAACGAGGGTAACCACGGTGAAGACGTCAAGGAGCTCTACTGGTATCTCGACAGCACTCCTACTCACAGCTACATGAAGATGCTTTACAAGTACCCGCAACAGTCCTACCCGTACGAGCTCTTTGTCCGCGAGTCACGCAACCGTAGCCGTGATGTTGCCGAGTTCGAGATCACTGATACCGACCTCTTTGACGAGGACAAGTACTGGGATGTCTTTGTCGAATACGCCAAGGACGAGGACGAGGAGAACGCCGTCTCGATCCGCATCAGCGCCTACAATCGTGGTCCTGAACCTGCCGATCTTCACATCATTCCTCAGCTCGTCTTTCGCAACTACTGGTTCTGGCCTAAGCAGGAGCCTTCCAAGCCCAAGATGAAGCAGACTGGTGACTACGTTATCCAGACTGATCACCCTCAACTTGGCCGCTACCATCTTTACTGCTCTACCAGTCCTGCCCCCAGTGCTCCTCCCGCAAAGCGTGGTCAGGCTCCTGAGCCGATTTCTGACGAGGAAGTTGTTCCCGAGCTCCTCTTCACCGAGAATGAGACCAACTTTGAGCGTCTCTACAACGGCCAAAACCGCAACATCTACGCCAAGGATGCCTTCCACGACCACATTGTCCCCTGCCACAGACAGCAGAAGGATCGTCCCAAAGCTGTCGAAAAGACGCGAAAGATCAAAAAGACAATTGTGCGTCAGGAGAGGCGACCCATCCAGCGCAACGCCCAAGATGTCGCTCCCAAGGCCAATGGCGCCTATCAGGAGGCCCAGCCAGAGGCCGCCGCCGAGAAGCAGTTTGGCACTGTCGGTCCCGTTGACGAGCAGGAGTACGAGATGGTTGACGTCGAGGAGGACGTGATTGAGGAGGAGACCTACTTTGAGGATTGCGATGAGTCCAAGCCTCCCCGCGACTACGTCAACCCCAACAAGGAGGGCACCAAGGCTGGTGCTCACTACCTCTTCCGTCAGGTTCCTCCCTTTGGTGGTTGTGCCGTAGTCAGGATGAAGCTCACCCCCAAAACTCCCTCGCAGGATCCTGCTATCGATGACGACGAGCAATTCGACACCACCGTCGAGGCCCGTCGTTCCGAGGCCGACGAGTTCTACGCCAAGCTCATCAGCGGTCCCATGTCCGACGACATGAAGAACGTCATGCGTCAGGCTCTCGCCGGTATGCTTTGGAACAAGCAGTTCTACATGTTCGTCCAGCCAGAATGGCTCCGTGGTGACCCTGGTCAGCCTGCACCGCCTCCCGAGCGTAAGCGCATTCGCAACCACGACTGGCGACACTTGCACATGGAAGACATTCTCTCCATGCCCGACAAGTGGGAGTATCCCTTCAGTGCCGTCTGGGACAGTGCGTTCCACTGCATTCCTCTTGCCATGGTCGACCCTGCTTTTGCCAAGAAGCAGCTCGACCTCTTCACCCGTGAGTGGTACATGAAGCCCGACGGTGCACTCCCCGCTTACGAGTGGAACTTCTCGGACGTCAACCCACCCGTTCATGCCTGGGCCACCTTCCGTGTCTTCAAGATCGAGCGAAAGATGTACGGTCGCGAAGATCTCGACTTCTTGGAGCGCGTCTTCCAGAAGCTGCTCATCAACTTTACCTGGTGGGTGAACCGAAAGGACTCGAGCGGTTCTAACGTCTTCGAGGGTGGTTTCTTGGGTCTCGACAACATTGGTCCCTTCAACCGATCGGAGCCTCTCCCTACTGGTGGCACACTGCGTCAGGCCGATGGAACCGCTTGGATGGCTTTCTACGCGCTCAACATGCTCAACATGGCACTTGAGCTCGCCAAGCACAACCCCACCTATGAGGATATCGCTTCCAAGTTCTTTGAGCACTTTATCTTCATCTCGGATGCCATGTCGTTCCATGACACCTTTGACGAGGAAAGCACCAGTCTTTGGTCAGATAAGGACGGCTTCTACTACGACGCCATCCAGTGGGGTCCTGGTAACAGCCAGGTGATTCCCGTCAAGAGTCTGGTCGGTCTCATCCCGCTCTACGCTACCTTGACCATCGAGCCCTCAGCGCTCAAGAGATTCCCCAGCTTCGCCAAGCGCATGCAGTGGTTCTTGGATAATCGTCCCGAGATGGCTGATCGTAACATTGCCAACATGAAGGTTGGTGGTCGTGGCGATCGTCGTCTGCTCTCGATGGTCAGTCGTGAGCGATTGGAGCTTATTCTTAAGCGTATGCTTGACGAGAACGAGTTCCTCTCGCCTCACGGTGTCCGTTCGCTTAGCAAGGATCACCAGAAGAACCCCTTCCACGTCAATGTCGGAGGAGAAGACTTTGGTGTCGGCTACTGGCCAGGTGATTCTCACAGTCCCATGTTCGGTGGTAACTCGAACTGGCGTGGTCCTATTTGGATCTGTGTCAACTTTTTGCTCATCGAGTCGCTTCAGAGATTCTACCAATACTACGGAGACAGCTTCAAGGTCGAATGTCCTACTGGCAGTGGTGACTACATGCATCTTGGTCACGTTGCTGAGGAGCTCTCGCATCGTCTTCTTGGTATCTTCCTGCGCGACGATCAGGGTAGGAGAGCCAACAACGGTGGTATTCCCATGCTCGACTATGCTCCTGAGTTTAGAGACCTTGTTCACTTTTACGAGTTCTTCCACGGTGACACTGGTAAAGGTCTTGGTGCATCGCATCAGTGTGGTTGGACTGGTCTTATCGCTTACACGATTTACTCGACCGGTGCAAGCTACGCTTTGGCCCAGACACCCAGGACGCCCAAGTCGACTGCTGCCCACTACTTTGATGAACATCTTACTGAGGATGGAAGATCCGAGGCAGGAAGCGCGCCATACTCCAACGCTTACTCGCGACCTCCCTCGCCTGATGAGCTTTAGACAGGGTCATTTTGAATGGATCTCGTTTCTTCTCATGTCTCTTTTGAAATCACTACACTTGTACTGCTCGCTATGGCCACCTTTTGTAAATGACGATAATCTTTCTGTTCTGTTGACAACTCGTGTGTGTCTGTCTCTGCAAGTATCAAGATTTCTGTCTGCGATCTTGAAGCTTGTCGATATCCTTTCTTGCCTCTTCATGACGATGATCGGGTGCAAGAATAATGTCGATGATCATCGACGCCATCTCTTGGTTTGTTTGTTTTTTTTTGGCTTGTCTGTTTACATGTTGATTATCTTTCCTCTCTGATGTCGGGTTTGTGCTGGCGGGGATCTAAGACTTGGTAGTTGTCTGAGTTATGCGCTTTCGTAGCAAGTAGAGCTTTTCCACCAGCATCAAGTTTGTGTTCTTGCCAATTGAGATCGTCATCGCTTGATCCGTATTCCTTTTCTACTTGTTCGGCTTTTGCATCTTGGTTGCGCGCTTGTTTTCTGATAGGTGTCTTGCAAGTAGATGTCGCAGTGTGTAGACGAGATTGGAATGACAGTAGAGCTGATAGTGAGTCGTCTGTTTTGGTGCAAGGGCGAGCTTTGGCGTTTAGGTATTTGCATCTTTGTTCCCAGAGGAGTGATCTTGCTGCTGCTGTTTTTGAGGGGGTGTTGCCGTTTGCTTGGGTCTCGTTGATGTTAAGAGGACTAAGAGTGTTTTGCTTTTTGAGATTGTCTTTCTTTGTTGCTTGCGGTAGATGTGATTGTGGTTGCTGCAGTGTTGATGTATTGATAGAAGAAGTTGCTTTTGTTTGATCTTGCTGCTTCCTCTGCTTTTCGACGTTGATAGGCTGCTTTGAAAGCTTTCTATCATCTTTCAATAAGTCATGCGAGCTCTTTGGGCCCTTCAGCACAACACCTTGCGCTGCCTCTCCCTCCTCCTCGTCACCAAACGACAAAAGCTTTATATTCTTCTTTCCCTTTCCTTTGTTGATCCTCTGCTCATCTTGCTTCCTCTTCCTCGCTTCCTGCCTCTCCTTCCTTTCCATCTCTCTCTTCTGATCTTTGGTCATTCTCGGCCTAAGATCATCGAAGGGATTCTGCAAAACCTTGACCTCGAGCAGTTTGGGAGGGTATCTGGGTCTGTCACCATCCAACTCAACACCCTCGGCTAGTTCGAGAAGATTGTAGATACACTTTCCCACTACGCGGCCGATCAAAGTATGTTTTGCTTGAAGTTCAGGTGTAGCGTCAAGTGTGAGGAAGAATTGTGATTCGTTTTGTTTGTCTTGGGCAGCCATAGCGAGTAAGCCTCTTCGATTGAACTTGAGTCGAGAGTGGGGTTCGATTGCGAATGGTTTTCCATAGATACTCTCTCCATAGTTTCCAGTTCCAGATGGGTCGCCAGATTGGATGATGAAGCCAGGTAGGAGACGGTGGAAGATGAGATTGTCGTAGTAGCCTTCGAGTGCGAGAGTGAGGAAGTTGCGGCAGGCTAGAGGTGTTTCGCGTGAGAACAGTTCGATGTCGATCTCTCCTTTTGATGTCGTTAGAGTCACCAGTCCCGATGTTGGTGGTTCTGTGATGTATTGAGATGCCATGGTGGCGGAGGAGGAGGGGGGGAGGGGGGGAGGGGGCTGCTGAATCAGCCTGTAGTGTAAGGCTGAGTCGATGAGTTGGTCGTGAACAAGAGGTGTTGGTGTTGGTCTCGAGGTTTTTGCACCAATGACCATCACTTTCAAGCGGAACTCGGGAGAGCAACACACGCCATCGCCATGGAGACCAACACTCGATGTCGTCTGTTCACCTTGATCTTGACCAGTTTGACGATAAACCCTTCACCATGTCACCTCCCACCATGTCACCTTGCACCGGGGTATCTACCGGTACTGCTGGGCCCAAGGAACCAGAATGGCTAGCATCTCTGTCACCAGAAACCGCCGCTTGCATTCGCCGTCTACTCTCCTCCCCAGCTCCACCAAGCTTCAACCAGATACCAAAGCGGAAACAAGCAGCGGTAGCCGTCATCCTATACGAATCAAACACCTCTCCTACCGAGCTGAGAGTCATCATAACGACACGTGCCCTTCATCTTCGCTCACATGCAGGCCAAGCGTCACTACCCGGTGGCAAAGTAGACTGGACGGATTCAAGCCTGATAGAAACAGCGCTACGCGAAAGTGTTGAAGAGATTGCACTTCCAACATCAGAGGCTGTTTGGCTACACACTGGATATCCCTTCTTGTCTAAGATGGGTCTGGTAGTGCATCCAGTTGTGTTCTTTCTTAAAAACGGAGCTGAGTTGTTTCAGCGGTTGAGAGCATCACCATCGGAAGTGAGTGATATTTGGAGCACACCACTCTCTGTATTCTTATCTTCAATTGCTTCCTCAGAACAACTATCAGATCCAAAAAGTGTAGACAAACATAGACCACCTCAAGAAGCTTTCCGAACATATACCGACATTCCATGGCTAGGTGGCAACTACCGTCTTCACCGATTCCGAAGTAGTCACCAACTGATAAAAGGTTTGACAGCAGATGTCTTGATAAGTATAGCCCAAAAGGCCTACGCGGTAAAAGCCAAGTACAGAGTCCATGCCGACGGTCAAAAGACATGGGAGCAGATGGTGGAAACTGTCATCCAGAGCTATAACAAGGAGCAAGCCAGAATCGAGTGTAGATGGGGCGACGGAGAGTGTGGTGATGTTCAGGGTAGTTCCGAGGCATATGAGACGTTCATTGGGGTTGACGACGACGGTGATGGTGCCATGATGGTGGAAGAGACACTGGATACATAGATTCATCACAGACCTCTAAGAACATCTGGACAAGTGGGAAATAGAAGCTCCTCTCCGAAAGTCTTGATCAAGAGAGCCTGTGTTGAGTCAAACATGGTCGTGATGCCCGCCCGATGAACAGGGATGCATTACGATAGCGCGAATGTGCGGGGCTGTGGAACATTGAAGGTGCTAAGGCGTTTCTAATGGCCAAGCTCGACTCAGGCCTTGGTAGTCTTTGCCTTGGTAGTCTTTGCCTTTGCCGCTGGTGCCTTGTTCGCTTCTGGTGCAGCACCGTCGTCCTTGGTGTATCCTTGGAAATCGTAGTCGATGCCGAGGTTCTTCAACTTGTGCTTTCTCTCATCTTGCCTCTTCAAAGCCCTCTCGTATGTTCTCTGCTGTTCCTCCTCTGTCTTGTCCCTTGACCTGACCACTCTCTCGACTCGAGCCGTTGGAATGGCCCTGTACATCCTGTTGGCACCGACCCACAGCTCCGGGTGCACCTTGTCCTTTGGCACGACCTTGACCTGTAGCAATCTCCCATCAATCAGATAGTTGTGCATGGTCTCCTGAACGATCTGAGCCACATCCTTGTCTGCGAATTCGACGAAAGCGTAGTGCTTCGAAGCACCGGTCTTCTTGTTACGCGAAACACGAAGTCGGCTGACATGGCCGAATTGCGACAAGTACGATTTGAGCTGTTTCTCGAAGAAACCTTTGGGCAGGCGACCGATGTATAGAACTCCAGGAGTAGTGGAAGCGCCCTTGGAGGAGGACTTGGATTTGCCAAGTTTGTCGAGACGAGCACGCACTACAGCGTCATCTTTCGAGTTGGGAAGCTTGACAAAGGCGAGAGAGGAGCGAGGTTGCAAAGTGGTGGATGCGAGCCGGTCGTCCTCGTCATCTTCGTCGGATGAGTTGGCTTCGTCTTGAATGTCGTCTTGTTCTTCTTCTTGTTCTTCTTCTTGTTCTTCTTCTTCTTCTTGGTCGGATGAATTGGCAGAGACATCAGAGAGCGAGGCGATCAAGTCACGCTCTTCGACGTCCTCCTCATCTGCCTCTGTTGCAGGTGCGGCCTTGTTTGCTTTCGACTTTGTGGTAGCGGCGGCGTTCTTCTTTGCAGAGGTAGAGTCGGCTTCGTCGGCAGCGGCACGTTTCTTGCCGTTGGACTTTGCTGTGGTGGGAGCAACGGCCGCCGCGACCGCCTTGGTTGCAGCGGCACGGGTGGGTCTGGTCCTTGTGCTGGCGGTAGCCGCAGCAGTCGATGTCTTGTTCGGCGGCATTGTCCAAGTGGCAATGGTGTAGAGGTGAGTAGTGAGTAGTGAGTGGTGAGTGGTGAAGAGTTGATTCTCCACACCAACAGCAGAAAAGTCAAAAAATTCGCTTTCTGCAAGACCCTGAGATGTTTCTTCTTTTCGCACGAGAGACCACCGCGACTTTTGTGAGAGATGTTAGATCAAATTTGCACAGTTGATCGAAGTCGCTGGAAAAAAAAGGAAAAAAAGGAAAAAAAGGAAAAAAAAAGAAAAAGAAAAAAAAAAAAAGAAAGAAAAAGGCATAGCGTGCACGGACCTAGTTTGTGCACTTTCTTCTCATAATCCAGCGTTTCAACATCTCGATGCCTTGCTCCTTCCACCAACACAACACTGTAGCTTGAACCTTTTCACAACAATGTCGACAGTCGCACCAGAGATCCTTTGGGCTCAGCGCTCTTCCGCCGACGAGGCCGAGAAGGTAGGTTCATAGCCCATTCCTCATCCAATTCAGCCAGACTTGACAGACACTGACTTGTTCAATTGCTCTTGCTTTTCCTGTTTTCTTGCCTCTTTCGCAATGTTCTCGCTCAACGCAGAACGTTGTCATGCTTACCATCAACGTCCCCAACCTTGCAGCTCCACCAGCGACCAAGTTCGACCTCACCTCTACTGGCTTCACTTTCCACGCCAAGACCGGTGATGCTTCCAAGAACATTGCCGACAAGGAATACTCTTTCTCCCTCGAATTCTTCGACGAGATCGACACTGAAGCTTCCAAGACTCACCTCAACTCCAAGTGTCTCTACGCTATCCTCCGCAAGAAGACTCCAAAGGAGCAGTACTGGCCCCGTCTCACCAAGGACAAGATTCGTCTGCACAACGTCAAGACTGACTTTGACAAGTGGGTTGACGAGGACGAGCAGAACGATGCCGAAGAGGACTTGAGCGGTGGTATGGGTGGTATGGGTGGTATGGGCGGCATGGGCGGTATGGACCCAGCGATGATGGGCATGGGCGGTGCCGGTGGACTGGATCTGCAGAGTATGATGGCTCAAATGGGCGGTGGAATGGGCGGTGGAATGGGCGGTGGAATGGGTGGTATGGGCGGTATGCCCGACTTTGGTGCTGAGGATGATGACGAGGGTGCCGATGAGGGCGATGTCGAGGATGCCCCTACCGCTACTGAGGAGGCCAAGTAAGCGCCCCACGCCTTGCCTCATCCCAACACCTTTCCATTCTATCGATCACTCGAATCACTTACACACGCTCTGCAATGTATTACACACCAAAAACCGTCAATGAAGACATCAAACAACGCAACTTGACAGTCTCAACCTTCTGCGAGGGAAGCGCCATTGGAATCAGCCTCGGGCACGAGCATCAAGTTGAGCTTGTGGCAGTTCAGAGGCTCTCGCTTTCCATGAAAGCTGTGGAAACTGGAGCACAACTCTTTGGCTGATCTCATTTGCATCTCATGATACAGCGTCGCATGCCTTGGCACATACATAGTCACAAAAGTTAGAGAATAAACCATTGCGAATTGATAGAGAGTGACTGGTATGTGCACCCAAGCTAGGCTACAATGGCGAGCTCCTTTGTACGATTAGCTGCGTATGCGTCTTTCCATGTGTCCCAGATACTGTGTCGATCCAAGGGAAACATGGTCAGTTGATCCTGCACTACAAGTCATCTGCAACTCTGTCTCGTGTTACTTACTTGATAAGTTCTTGGATGTACAAAGTCTGGACACGCTCGAGCTCTTCTTTCGTTGGATTGGAGTTCTGCTTGACGTGTATTGGCTTGCCGACTGACGATCGAGTTGCAAAGCAAGATGTAAGTATGTAAGGCTGACTCTTTCGCTTTCTAGACCATCTTTCTCGTCAATGTACCTACCAACGCTAACAATGGGGTGCCTGTAGGGCATCAGCCCGATACTGTAGTTGAACAGCCCTCTACCGTGGAAGAAAGGCAAAGTGAAGCCGAAGAGCGCCTGGAACTTTTTTTGTAGCGCATAGATCCTCGTCCCTTGCTCGTTTGACAGCTGCTCATAGACGTCGTTCTCGCCAAATGAAAAGACGGGTACTAGGTCGGCTCCATTCCTGATGGCGATCTTGATGAAACCCAGCCTCCTCCTGAGTGTCAAATCTGCTGTGCCTGGATGCGCTGCCAGACTCTCACTGGCACCTCCCACGACGATTGCAATTGCACTTCCCTTTCCTTTCTTCAAGATAGCCTCGCAGCTTCGCTTCGAGACACTACAAATACCCATGGCCATCAAGCAGTCTCTAAAGAGTGGAATCGTAAAGTTTGTCGCCAGCGTCAAAAGGTGGGGTGTGATGCCGGGGAAGCTTTCGGAGAACTCAGTAGCATCAGTCGCTAGGTTGGCAACTGCAGCAACACCGAGGATACCGTGTGGGTGACATCCAAAGATGTAAGGGCGATCGGCTGGTAGGTTGGTCGTCTTGATCATAGAGATCGGAAAGTACTCGGCAAAGTACCGAAAGACGGCAAGTTTACGGACCCACGAGAAGCGACGGCCGCCATTTTCGGGAGCAGTGTCGATGAACAAGATCCAGATTAGGTATGGTATCAGAATAGGCCAGGTGAGGGGCATCGATAGGAGGAGAAAGAAGAGGCTTATACAGATAGGCAGGAGGAGAGCCCAGAAAAGGACGCCGAGAGTTTGTAGCCGACGACTGCGTGGAATCGAGAGCGGGGCGAAGCTGTTGAATGTATGCAGATGAAATCAAGTCAGTGATGAGCATGGATGAGTGGGAAGCAGGGTGTCGTCGAGCGTTCAACTTACCGAATAACATTCTCCTTCTTGGTGGAATTGCTTTGCTCCTTGAAAGACGACGGCGACCCCCGGTCTAATACTTCTTTCGGACCGATTGATAGGCCATCGACATCGTGAACCTGAGCCCTTTGGCCCGCTGTTTCGGACGCTGGATGATGTGGGCCCATCTTGCTTTCCTTGTTCAGGTCAGAGCCGAATCGCAAGCTCCCGTATGGATGATAAGGCTGCTACAGCGGGAATGCTCGGTGCTTGATGATGAGAGTCGTCGGAAGGCTGTGGAACGTTGGCGATATCATCCCGTGTGAGAAGGCAACCTTTGACCTCGAACAGTGGCCTCTCGAAATGCAATGATGGCTCGTGCTGAACGCTGACTGACTCGTCGTCGTACAGAGCCAAGTCGTACGGAGCCAAGTTAAAGATGCTTTCACCTTGTCCAATTTACCGCCATTTCTCTCTTCTCATCTCGTCAAATCGGGCACATCGGTCCAAGTCGATCGGAGATGCTCGCCGAGTTCCGAACCCAAGATGCTCGACTTTTTCTTTGGAGACTTGGAAATTGCAAGTGCTGCCGTTCTGGATTCATGACCACCATCTTCAACTTCATCTTGATGCGCTCTTGCAACGATTGCAAGCACCTCACTCGTCATGGCGTCCGCCCAAAAGTCGCAGAATGAGCTCTATCAGCTCGAGCTGCTCTCGCTCACAGGCAAGATTGCCACAGAGCTTCTCAATCATACCGGCATCAATGATCGCGTCCTTGCCCAGTTCATCCTCTCGCTTCACGACTCAGCAAATTCTTTCGCCGACTTCAAAGCCAAGCTCGCCGAAGTAGGTGCTGAGTTTCCAGACAGCTTCATCGCCAACCTCGACCGTCTCATTCTTCGACTGCACCCGAAGCACAAGGAAGCCTCTTCCATATCAGCAGCCGCCACCACCAACGGGAAAACAGGCTCCTCTTCACCCAGTTCAAAAGGGAAAGAGAAGGCTACACTTGAAGATGAGGAAAGAGAACGCAAGGCGCGCATGTTCCCTGGACTTGCCATCAAGGACCACGACTGGCAACCGCCTTCGGAGGAGAAGAGCCGCAATGCAGTCGACGATTTCATGAAGGAGTTTGAGGACATGGCTGGTGGCAAGCCAACAAAGCCTCGCACCATGCCTGATTCGCGGTCTCCACCAGCACCATCGTCTCGGAACGGCAGCAGATACAGAGACGACGATGATGACGACAGTAATCGTGCAGGATCTTGGCGTCGAGGGCGAGATGACCGGCCACCATCTCATCTCTCCCCTCCACCGCCCGACGACCGACCACAGCTTTACAAGATCTACGACGGCAAAGTCAGCAATATGCGTGACTTTGGCGCCTTTGTCTGTCTCGATGGCCTTCGCGGTCGCTTTGAAGGTATGGTGCATATCGGCTCTATCGCAGTAGGCCCACGTGTCAATCACCCTTCCGACCTCCTTTCCAGAGGACAAAGAGTCAAAGTCAAGGTCATGTCTGTCGTCGGCGACCGTATCGGACTTTCGATGAAGGATGTCGATCAAGCAACAGGTCGAGATCTGACACCACATCTGCGTATCAAGAGCGAAGCAGAGATGGCAGAAGAGCGCCAGCGTCATGCTGCGCGTTCGGCTAGTGGTGCCAACAGTGCACCTCTCGGGTCCAGCAGGACTACTGGTCATGGTGCAGGTAGTGGCATAACAGTCAACGACGACGGTCGTGGCCGAAGCACCAAGCGACTTACCAGTCCAGAGCGTTGGGAGCTGCGTCAGCTTATTGCAAGTGGCGTCGCTAAAGCTAGCGACTATCCTGAGCTCATGGAGGAGGATCTTCGCACACCCAACACAAAAGCTGGTGCTGATGAGGACGACGAAGAGATTGATATCGAAGTCAACGAGAAAGAAGCTCCTTTCTTGAAAGGTCAAACCAGTGCATCCATCGAAATGTCGCCTGTCAAGATTGTCAAGGCGCCAGACGGTACGCTGAATCGCGCTGCCATGGCAGGTGCGACCCTTGCAAAGGAACGCAGAGAACTTAAGAAGCAAGAAGCAGAAGAGGAAGCTGATGCCGAAGCAGCCGACATGACCTCAGCTTGGCTCGACCCAATGGCACAACAAGCCGACCGTCAATTCGCCCAAGATCGCAGAGGCAACATCCTCGGACAAAAAGCACAAGATCAGCCGGCTTGGAAGAAGGAGACCTTCAACAAAGCAACCACGTTTGGTAGGATCACCAATCTCTCGATGCAGGAGCAACGTCAAAGTTTGCCCATCTTCAAGCTCCGAGAGCAGCTCGTTCAAGCTATCCGTGACAACCAGGTGCTTATCGTCGTAGGTGATACCGGTTCGGGAAAGACAACACAAATGACGCAGTACTTGGCCGAGGAGGGCTTCGCAGACCGAGGCAAAATTGGATGCACTCAGCCAAGACGTGTGGCGGCAGTCAGTGTCGCCAAGCGTGTGGCAGAGGAGGTGGGATGCAGAGTAGGGCAAGAGGTTGGCTACACGATCCGTTTCGAGGATTGCACGAGTGCGGAGACAAAGATCAAGTACATGACTGATGGTATGTTGCAGCGAGAATGTCTGGTTGATCCAGATGTTTGCAACTACTCGGTCATCATGCTTGACGAGGCGCACGAGCGTACGATTGCAACAGATGTGCTGTTCGGTCTGCTGAAGAAGGCGCTCAAGCGAAGACCTGATCTGAAACTTATCGTCACTTCGGCGACGCTGGATGCTGAGAAGTTCTCGACCTACTTCTTCGGCTGTCCCATCTTCACCATTCCAGGTCGAACATATCCAGTTGAGATCTTGTATACCAAGGAACCGGAGCCAGACTATCTCGATGCCGCTCTGATCACTGTTATGCAGATCCATCTCTCGGAACCTACCGGTGATGTTCTCGTCTTCTTAACGGGTCAGGAAGAGATCGATACAAGTTGCGAGATCCTCTTCGAGCGGATGAAGGCATTAGGACCAAGCGTTCCTGAACTGATCATCTTGCCAGTCTACTCTGCTTTGCCGTCTGAGATGCAAACGCGAATCTTTGAGCCCACACCTGCAGGATCAAGAAAGGTTATCTTGGCTACCAACATTGCGGAGACGAGTATCACGATCGATGGTATCTACTATGTGGTTGATCCAGGATTCGTCAAGCAGAACGCATACGATCCACGACTGGGTATGGACTCTTTAGTGGTGACGCCCATCTCACAGGCTCAGGCAAGGCAGCGTGCAGGACGTGCAGGACGTACTGGACCAGGCAAGTGTTACCGACTCTACACTGAGGCAGCATATCGAAACGAGATGCTTGCCAACTCGATCCCTGATATTCAACGTCAGAATTTGGCATCGACCATCTTGGCTCTCAAAGCGATGGGGATCAATGATTTGGTCAACTTTGACTTTATGGATCCACCTCCAGCTCAGACGCTGCTGACTGCTCTCGAGTCGCTCTATGCACTTTCGGCACTGGATGACGAGGGGCTGTTGACGAGATTGGGACGTAAGATGGCGGATTTCCCCATGGAGCCGATGATGTCCAAGATGCTGATTGCTTCTGTCGACCTGGGTTGCTCAGAAGAGATGCTTTCGATTGTTGCCATGTTGTCTGTGCAAAACATCTTCTATCGACCAAAGGACAAACAAACTCAAGCGGACGCCAAGAAAGCCAAGTTCTTCCAACCGGAAGGTGACCATCTCACCCTACTCAGCGTTTACAATAGTTGGGCTGCAAGCAAATTCTCCCTGCCCTGGTGCATGGAAAATTTTGTTCAAGCTCGATCTCTGAAACGTGGGCTGGATGTTCGCAAACAACTGGTTGGTATCATGCAACGTTACAATCACCACATTGTTTCTTGCGGTAAGAACTACAACAGAGTACGCAAGGCTATCTGCTCAGGTTACTTCCGAAATGCTGCCAAGAAAGATCCACAGGAGGGTTACAAGAGTTTAGCAGAACCTGCTGGTACTGTGTATATTCATCCTAGCTCTGCCATGTTCAACAGAGCTCCGGAGTATTGTGTTTATCATGAAGTTGTGTTGACAACAAGGGAGTATATGCGAGAGGTTACTGCTATAGAACCTAAGTGGTTGGTCGAGGTTGCTCCCAGGTTTTTCCGATCAGCAGACAAATTGAATATTAGTAAGAGGAAGAGACAGGAGAAGATCGCTCCGCTTTTTGATAGGTTTGCTAAGCATCAGGACGAGTGGCGCTTGAGTAAGGTGAAGCGAGTCGGCAAAAGTTCACAGACTTTTGGATGATGATATGGTGTTGCTAGATATGTTTTTCTCTTGTCCTTTCCAGTCATTGTGTTGCTTTTTGCAAGGATGAAATGCAGAACAAAGGTGGCAGAGAATGTGTATCGTTGTTTCCTTGCTTCCGTAAATTGCCGAAGAGGAGCGAGTAGTGATAGAAACTGAAGTAGTTTCGGGTCCCGATACAGGCGATCGGGGATAGTCTAAGTACAATGTCACTACTCGTTATAGCAGAAACATATACTCAATTGACTAGAGGGGGTATCAAAGTTTTTGCGTTTTTAAAAACCCAGGTTTTTCAAGAGCACATTTTTCAAAAAAAACGCAAAAGTTTACATAAGCTCCGCAAAGGGAAAAAAAAAACCGCATTTTCAAAAATGCAGCTCAGGAGGCACATTTGTGAAAATGCGGTTTTTTTATCACTCCACATCTTCTCTCCTTTCCTCACTCTCATCGCACTTTTGCTCACTCCCTCTTCCTTGTGCTCATTCAACATGACCTCCTCCACTGATGATTCTGGTGACATCTCTGCAGAGTTGTTATGCCAGTCCACTACACCTACAAGCTCTGCAACTCAGACCAAAAGCATGCCTGCACTGTCTCAATCTGGTTCTACAAGTGCTCCTGACATCCACACTTCCTGTCCAACTCGAGCCTCTAGATCTGCCACAGGCAAGAAGAACTTGACATGGTCGGGTGCCAATGTTCTTCACCTTGTCACAATCCTCTACAACAACAAATCCTACCAGTGCACTCTGCTGCCATCTCAAGAATTGGCTGAGAGCGATCCAGCCCTCAAACTTCGCAAACATCCCATTTTTTGGGATATCTCCAAGAGGATTTTCCCAGGCACATCTGTTGATCCCAATTGCATCAAGTCCAAGCTGAGGTGGCTGCTAGAGACATACTACAGGGAGAAGAAGAAGCTTTCACCCACTGGAGCTGGTACACTGCTGGAGGACATGGATGCATCCAACCTGGTAAGTTTTGGTGATCTTTGTTGCTTGCAATAGTATGCTTGGATGCTGATTCATACTTTCAATTTTAAACAGTCCTACATATCTTGCATTGCCCTGTCAACAAAGTATGCTTGGTTTGAAAGGATGCATGAGATGATGAATGGCTGATTCAATGCTGATCCCGCAGCACTTATCACAACTCCCAGTCTCAACTTCACCAGCGATGATGAGCCTGACATGCCTTCAAATGGCTCAGCTGACATACCCATGGATATTTGTGGCAGTGAGCTGTATGATCACAGCACTCATGGCCATGGTTTGCCTCCTATTCTCGACTTGATCAAACCCACCAACCCCCCAGCTGCTGTTGCATCCACTTCTGGTGCATCCTTTGCTGGCACTGGTGATGATGACATCTTTAACACACCTTCACCTCCACCTTTGCAGGCTCAACCACCTTCCTCCACTGCTGGCAGTTTGGATGTCTCTGATTCCACCTCTTCTCAATCTTCAGCCCAGCTCTCTCCCAGCACCAAGCACAAGTGAGGTGCCCTTGATCACAAGTGTGACACACTTGCTGAAGCTTTCTATCATTCTTCCATTGATACCCTTCAGATCTGCCTGCAGCTTGAACAGGAATGCACCAGACATGAGAAAATACTGGAGGCTGAGTGTACCAAGCACAAGGAGATGCACCTGCATCACGAGAGGGAGGAGAAAGAGTGCGATGAACATGTTTGTGCATGTGATTGTGAAATGGTGATGGAGATGGTGCACCTCCTTGCTTCTCAGGCCAGCATCAAACAGGATGCTCATCAGAACACCAGCAACAACAACAACACGGACTCTTCATTCAATCTTCCTGTCTTGTAGCATTACATGTACTATCATCTGGTCTCAATGCAAAGTCATTTCTGAGTGTTTTTCTGTAGAGTGCAAGTATGAGGTGAATAAAAATGATGTGCAGCACAGTCACATAATGAGCTCAAAAGCATTTAAACAAAAAATTTCACTCTCACACCTCTTCCATTACTACCACCACTCCACTCTGCAACCTTTTGGCATTGCTCTTGCTGCCATCCCCCCTCTCCATGCTCCCTCTCCAACTCCCTTCCTCCTTCCAGCCATGGTGCACTACAGTGACAAGCAAGTAATTCTCAATGACATTGTCTGCACTCTCAAGCTCTCTATACCTGTGGAGGTCATCCAAAACACCAACAGAGTGCAGCACTCCTGCAGCACTGACATCGACAACTTGGATGATGATGGCAACCCAATTCTGCTCTCATGACACCTTGTCTGCTTGTACACTTTCATATGCAAGCAAAGGTACACAATCACATGTTACACTCCTCTTGGCCATGCTGATAAGCTTATCCACCTTCTCAACAGGTACAAATCAAGCAATCATAGGATGTATCATGGACTTGTTTGTATGTCACCTGAAGCATTCAATAATCTTGCCATCCAACTCCAGCAAACAGAGGCTTTCTGGTGGAACTACAGCAGCTCAGGTGTGATGTCTCTCAACAAAGTGCAAGAGATTCTTTCAGTGGCTCTGTACAGACTTGGCCATTCTGGAAATGGAGGTGGTGAACATGATGCTGCTTTGCAATGTGGTTGTGGTGTTGGGAGCATTGTTGGATACACCAATTGCACAGTTGCTGGCCTCCTCGAGCTAAACAATGAGGTCATGCAGTTTGCTTCAGAGGGAGAGAGACAACATGCTTCTGCCTGGGTGCGCAATACAACTGGGGTTGAAGAGTGGGGTGTCATGGGCCTGGATGCTCAAGAAGCAGGAGGGTCACGGGTTCATATGGAAGGAGCACAGGTATCGAAGATCTAGTCGAGACCAGTAGAGAGCATGGTCATAGTGCAGTCTCCATGGAGACCATGGACTCCTACAGACTCACATGCAAAGGAGGGCCAAGCACAGCCATGAGGAGGACCAAGCTCAAGGAGCAGGCACAGCCACAAAGAGGACCAAGCTCAAGGAGCATGCAGATGGTTACCACTCAGGGGCTCGAGAGACAAGAGCCAAAGGAACTGTCACTGATCAAAGGAGAAGGAGCAGTGTCGAAGGAGTCGACACCAGGTCATGAGGAGGAGGAGCAGTGTCAAAGGAGTCGACACAGCTCAAGAGGCACAGGGGTGCCAAGCAGGAGAGGCCCCTGAACAGTACTCGATGAAGAAGGTACTCTCTGGAGAGAGAGCAGGAGCAGCATCGCTGGTGATGCCATGAAGAGGTATATAACCATGCTTTCTCATCATCAATAGGTCGAGTGGATCCTCATCCACTCTACTCACCATAACTAGTTATCACTTCAGCATAAGTATATATTAGTTTCAGTCAGCATAGCAGCAATCTATCAAGGTTGCTCCTCATTGTAGTGTGTGTGTTGTATCACCACTACCTGATGTCCGAAGGCACCTTATAGCAGGTTAGTGGTCTGGATATAGATAGAACCGAAGGCAGTAGTCCACTGCAGTCTGGGGATCACTTCAAGCATCAAGTCAACACACTGGACACTTGTGTTGACACCACCAACCTCATCACCAACACCACCAACCTCATTATCATTGACATTCACCAACCTTATCACCAACACCATCAACCTCATCATCATCAACACTCACACCAGACCTTGGTGTCAACATAACCTATGTATTGATATTGATCTTGCTGAGCTACCCCTGAATGGAGTGTCCACAGAGGTCAGCCGAAACCTATGATAGTATATACAACGAATGCCACCTGCTGTCACTGTGCAACTTGATAGTCACCGATACCAAGACAATAGCTGTCGCACAGTTTGATAGTCACCGAGTATCTCGAAAGACCAACCTGGGTTTCAGGCGCGAGACCCCTGACATGGGGTAAGGGCTGGCTTGTGGTGGATGGCACACACATCCCTCTTGCCTGGAAGCCAGGAGTGCTCAGTTGAGAGCACTTCTGCTACAAAGGCTTCCACAGCATCAATGTAGCACTGGTGATCCTGCCACACTCACTGTGGATTGTCGAATCAATTGTTGGACAGCCTGGCAGTGTTCAGGATTCGAAGGTTTGGGCCTCAGGCAGCAACATCCTGAAGAAGCCTTGCCTGTACCTTGACAAAGGTGAGTTCATCTGGGTTGATGGTGGATATGGCCATTCTGCCTTCACAGTTGGACCATTCTCTCACATTGCTGCTGACAAGAGTCAAGACCTTCGACACTTCAACTACATGCTCTCTCAAGTCTGAGTATGAGTTGAACATGCCATTGCATACCTGAAGAACCACTTCCAGTGCCTTACAGGCTATCATGGTAACATCTACCATTTCAAGGACTGCATCACTGCTGCTGAGACGATCCAAGCCTGCATTGTTGCCCACACCTTTGCAAGTCAATATGACCATCCTGCTGATATTGCTGACCTGCTGTTGCCCTCTTTCTCTGAGGATGAGGTGAGTGAGGTTGTTCAAAGCCTCCAACTTGATGCCAGTGATACACAAGAGCTCAGGAGGACAAGATGCACAAATCAGCAGGAATACAAACTGGATCTTGCCACTGCAACACAAGGAATGTCACAGTATGCAGTGTCAAGACTTTGAAGTTCTGCTGCACATGATCTTCAAGAGGGTTTGTTCCAGGTGCTGTTCAGATCCACTGGGCACAATGAGGAAGACACTACTGCATTGTCTTGATGTCATGAGAGGACTACTGTGGACTACATTGCCATGACTCAAAGTGCATCAGCTTGGAGACAGGAGCAAGTCTTGACACAACCATTCTTGATCTGACAGGCACTCTCTCTTCTTCTGTTCAATACAATTCTTCTCACCACCATATGAAACATTACATTGAGTGCATTGTGTGAAGAGGAAAGCAAGATATAAGCAAGCAATGGGTAATAGCGACAAGAGTGACAAGTAACATGACCACTGTTAGGTTATGTATTTTATCAGCCATATGATTTCATTAGGGGGTTTCAGTTATCTCTGAGTTTTGAAAACACAATACTTTGAAAATATGTTTGGGCCCAATTTTTGATGCCCCAAGAAACTG